CAGTATTTCCGAAAACTACTCTTCAATCAAATCGGTTCCAGAAACGTACCTGACGTATAACTACATGATGTTTCGATAAACGCGGAAAAAAAAACGAGGCAAACACAGCACTGTCATCAGCTTACTTTACTAAGTATGCAAATGCAAATCAACGTCATTTTCCGAGCTGTCTGAGGGACTGGGTCGGTTTGTGGGTCGGCCGTTTGGTCAGGCGTTGGTCAGGCGAGTTTGTGGGTTATTCAAGGTGACTGTTTATTTTTTCTTTACTTATAGCTTATTTATTTACCTATTTATTTTAGACCCATAGACCCTCCTCATCATGACCGGTTTTATAGTTCAGGGCCTAGTTGTTCCAAGGCTGATTAGCGCTTAGACCCGGGGTTAAATTTAACCCGGGTCAGTCTCTAAGCATTTTCTCGGATAATTTTCTCTGTTCAGTTTTAGAGCTTGCAATCATCAACTTGTAAGACAAAAAGAATTAAAACGGAAATGTCGAGAAATGCTTTTTCAGCTTTCAAATCTGAATTCAAATCTTTCTCTAACCCTGGGTTATCTTAACCCTGCTTTGAACAACTCGGCCAAGGGAAGAAAGACGGCGACGGTAACAGCAAAGGGAACGTCAAAAAAGCAGCATTAGGCAGGATAGCTCTTCGTACTATACCACCGGATAAAGCTTTTCGTGCATGTCGACAACGGAACGGCAATGGCACCGAGACCTATCCGATGACGATCCACTTTCAAGATCGGTTGCAGTGGAGCTTCGTTCTGTTACAGATATAGCCTGGGATCAGGCTCCGCATTGGGGAAAAGAAAAAAATTGGCGAGCGAAGCGAACCGAGAGGTAATCTGGGGAGGAAAGGGTGGCTAGACCACCTCTGTGCTCGCTTCGCTCGCCGATTTGAACCTTTCCTTGCCTTTTTCCTCCACTAGGGACCCCAGTCCCGGGCTATTACAGATATCAAGCATGCAGAAATCACCATTCCTTTTAAACCGCCGCCTGGTTAGCTCAGTTGGGAGAGCGCCGGTCTGCTGAGCGGGAGGTCGCGGGTTCAAACCCCGGCCGGACCAACACTTAGGGTCTTTAAATAAATAAGAAGAAAGTGCTTCCTTTGTAATGACATCTTCAAATGGTTAGACTTTCTAGGCTTCTCAGATAAGGACGAAAAACCGTAGGTCCCGTCTCACAGCACTTTCACTGGTCGGTTCTTGTGGGACGTAAAAGAACCCACACTACTGTTCGAAAAGAGTAGGGGACGTAGACCCCGGTGGTGTGGCCAACCTTTACGGGTTATGGGATTAGGTAGGGATGGCACCTTGCATGGGACCTATGAGTCCCGTTCGTGCCTATTCCCTCTGGGCAGGCCTATGTCCAGAAAAGCTTGTAAAACTAAAACTTATGTCCGGTACGGTTTTCGTGTCAGCGCCATTCTGTGTAGCGTTCAGGCCCCGTCCACACGAACATTTTTGATCGAAACCTCTAATTTTAATACCCGGATTCGTGTGGGCGGGAGCTTAAACCATTCTGAAGAGCAGTTTCAAAACAATGCCAGTGGCGACACCAGGGGAGGGGCCTGGAGGGCCCGCCCGCCCCTTAATTTTAGACCAAACCGAGGCCCGAAGGGCCGAAAAAATTTTTTTTGCTACCGCCCCCCCCCCCCCCCCCCCCCCCCCCTTCGTTCACACGAATCGAAAACCACTGACTCCACTCACCGAAACCGCCTTCAGTGGGGTATCCAGGGCGGTTATCCAGACCCTGAGATAAGTCGGGGGGGGGGGGGGCGGGGGAAAAAAAAATTTTTTGGGCCCTTCGGGCCCGGGGTGGGGCCAAAATAAAGGGGGGGGGGGCCCCCCCCGCCCCTTATTTTGAACCCAACCCGCGCCCCAAGGGGCGAAAAAATTTTTTTTTCTCCCCCCCCCCCCCCCCCCCGACTTATCTCAGGGTCTGGATAACCGCCCTGGATACCCCACTGAAGGCGGTTTCGGTGAGTGGAGTCAGTGGTTTTCGATTCGTGTGAACGAAAGGCTGCCTTCGAGTAAAAAACATATATTCCGTCAGGGTTATGGGCTCCTGTTACCGTAAATCCTCCAGTGAGTACCTAAGGAGGCTTATTTATTTCAAGCCCATTTTAGGCGGGGGGGAGGGGGGCTTAATAGAGACGGTGGGATTATTTCATTAAGAAAAGACGATGGCATCAGTTCTAACAACGGCAAAGAAATGTGGAAAAAAAGTGTACTGCACGCGCAAAGTTGCTTTTTGCTAATTAGACCTACTGATTTTGTTTGCCTGTTTTTGTTGCCGTCGCCGCACGATCGCATTTTATTTGAGTAAACGATAGATATTAAGGAGAGCTTCGCTTTTAGCCCTAGCTAAATCTATATATTAATTCTGTTTCACTCAGTTTTTAAGTTCAAAATTGCAAGGGTTGCAGCACTCCACGTTAAAACTACATGGAGGGTGAACAAACGAAAGAAGCAAGACTGATTTTACAGTCGGGAATATATATATTTTTTGTCTATCAATATTTCAAAAGGCACGGCATGGACATTTACTGTCTTTCGAGTTCGACTTAGACACTTGACTTATTAGGAGATAAGCCAGATTACATACAGTTTTTCTAGTGCTGTGTTGTGTTGTAGCTTTGTACACGAGTACAGCGTAAAATAATAAAAAAAAAATGTAAACAGTTACACAAAATCAGCTATGGGTACGCTCTGACCTGAATATAGTTTTGCCACTTTGAAAACTATTTACCTGACAACCCGAAATCAAAGCTGCTCGTCGGATACAACAATGTACATCAGAAATCCTCTTCAATCTTGCCTAGTGTTTCGTTCAATCTTTGATCTTTTACTGATCATGAAAACAGCTGAGAACCTGTTCCAGAGTGGTCTTCTACTCATCCTATAATATTGTTTTTGCATTTGATTTAATATCAACTGTATGGATCGCGTATCCTGTGATATGCCAGTCAGCTACGAAATGGCATCCCGCGAAAGTGCATCAGCTGACGGTGTCTCTTTAACTGGGAAAACGCTGTTGTTTTAATAAGTGGTCGTTTTGGGAGCTGGTGGCTTACGAGAGAAGGTCAGACTAGGGGCCTTACCAATGAGATTGTAATACACAGTATTGTTTTGTAGAATCTTAGTTGAATATCTGAAATGGCAGTTTGTTGAAAACGAAGATATCAATGAGAATCTTGATACCACATGATAAAATGACAAAAGAAATTCCCATGGCTAAGGCATTGTCCAAATACCATAGCGATGGAAAGTGATCTATGATAGCCTGATCCAACGCAACGACGAACATCAGACCACCCGTTAGTACGTTACCGATGCACAGGGTAACAAGAACGGAGCTTCTGATTTTTGAAGCTATCCATAACTCAGTCGCACCAAGTACACAGTAACTGAAGCAGAAAACTAAGAGTGTGGCCCACATAACTTCAGAATGTCTTGGGCTGCTTTTGTTTTCTAAATTAACGTAACAAAAGGTGATGATAATGAAGGCTTTTACAACAAAGGCTATTCCAAAAGCGATCGATCCTTGTCTTTCCCTTTTCTTTTCATTTTTTCTGTTTGAATTGTTCCAAAATCTCCAAGCGATGATTAAAGCAGTGAAAACTTCGAAGAAAGTGTCAAGAGCTGTGGCAAGAACGGCCGAGCTGCTCATCTTCACTGAAGCAGTGAACAAAGTCGCACTAAAAAGCAGCGAGGTGTTTAAACTGGCTAGAGCAACTGCGAGCGAAGCTTTTCTCCACTTGTCATTTTCTCGCATTTGTAGTATAGTCTCCGGTTTATCTTCTTCTTTTTCCTGTTCGATAAAAGAGAAGCATGGCGATTTGCCAGAAACGCTATCCCTTTGCCCAGGATTAATTTCAGCTTTGAAACGAGCGGCCAGCCGTGGAGAACTCGGCGTTGAGAGTAAAACGCTAGAATTGGCCACGTTTGGTAAGTCTTTGTGCGGTTCTCCACTTTGCTGTTCGTTAGAGTCACTTGCCTCCATTCCTGAACTTTTATGCCAACTCCCTTGAAAACGGCAGCTGGGCCTTCTGAACATAGCCGGCCATCAGTTTGGCGACTGCAAAACAGCTGGGGCTTCTCAGTAGTTTAAATTATTCAAGACTGAACTGAACTCGTTAAGGGGCTATGCATCACTGAAACGCCCTTTCCTCATTAACTACACGAACAAACAAACCTTGACCGTGGTCACCCTGTGTAAAACTTGCTATTATCCGTCCCTTTGCTGTCGATATTCAATAACTAGAAAAATCACCACTCAGTTTGAGCGCTGCGTATCCTCTAATTAAAGATTTTAATGCATTCTTGTGGCTTAAAACACGGTACATGCAATTTGCTTTCATTCGTATGTCGCTACACTGAACCACACATTACGTACTGATTATTTTTCATTGATGTGCCTTCAAACGCGTTTTGCCGGAAATAAAACCTTGAACGGTATCCAACAACAAGCTTTACTTGCATGACTAGAGCGGTTTTCACTTGACTGTCGTCAAACCAAAACCAAAGTAAATACACTAGCCAACCAAAGGGCGTAGTAAAACCAAAACCAAACCAATTCCTCAATTACTTTCGACAGTCAAGTGAAAACCGCTTTAACTCATAGAGTATTGCAAAAGCTAGCGGGATTTCGTTATGTGAATCTATTTCAGCTATTCCATATATGAAACTAAACTACGCTCTCAGTTAGTGTTCCGAGATAGCGTTATATCATGTCGTAAAGGGAAATTAAGTTTTTCCCTTAATTGTCTTTAACTGGCTTCAACTAAAAAGCAAGTAGTTTCACCCCAGTTTTATACATAAGAATTGCTCTGGACAGTTTTCATCTGCTTATTTTCTATTCTAAGAAATTCTCAACTTGAATATGACGTTTGCCGTTTGGTGTAAACGTGCAATATCTAGATGATCCCTCCATCAGTGCGAATTAGGATAATGGCTGTATTCACACTAGAGACGGATCGGATTATCCGTCTGAGACAGAGACGGGTTATCAGTTGGATACGCGTCAGACAGATAATAATGGAACCGTCCGCTTTATTTTGGATGGGCAATCCGCCTGACCTTATCCTTGTTTTTCCGTCAATTTTGACGGACTTTGAAGATATGGGTTATCCGTCTCAAGTGTGAAAAGGGTTGATGAAATGGAAAGTCTCAGCTCTGAAACTACATCTAAACAAGTAAATTGATAACTAAAAGGGAGACGTATTTTATTCAAACGGTGGTGTATGCCACCCAGCGTCTTGGTAACCCAACCCTATATATTCTGATAAATTTACAGTCACGAAGTTAGCCTGACGGGTTTAATACATACTACAGTCATGCCGAAGTGGCAATGTATAACAAAATGAAGCAAATGACTAAAACATACGTCCTTGGCTAACGAATATATTATCCCACCAAAGCATTTTCTGGTCAATTACTTATAATTCCCGGGAACTTGGCTTGGGCTGGTCACGATTAAAGCCCTTTATTTTTAGTATCTCGGCAAATGCCTTTCGGTATTTTTGGCTCCTTGCACAATAAATATAAGGATTGACTGCCGAGTTACAAGCCAGAAAAGTTTGAACCCAAGAATACCCTTTTCCAAACTGTTCTGGTTTTGTTGAGGGATTAACAATAACTGGAAATAAAAGCATTGGTAACCAGCATACGGTATAAACCCCCACAACTGTGAATATGGTCCTGGCCACCTTTTTTTCCGCTGATGAGCCCCCAGATACCATAGTAATGTCCTGGATTCTGTTCTCTTGGCGTTTCGCAACTACAAAGATGTATATATACATGGCTATTGTGCCAAACAACAGGACAGTGCTGTAAAATGCCACGTAAATACTCGAGAGGACTTCACACGCGTAGAGGGCTCCAAATGTTAGAGAGATTACCCAGACGATAGCGATCTCGGCCAGAGCATGCATCTTTGTCATTGCTGCTGTGTATTTGAAGGGAAATCGAAGCGCGAAAATGCGATCAATCGTTACTGCGAACATATTTGTCGCAGATGCGACCATGGAGAAGTGGCCAAAGAAGATCTTTGCTAAATAAAACGAAACGTTTTCGTCTTTGGCATCTGGGTATTGAAAGTGATAAATGGACATCGGCAGAAACAACACGCATACTGTTAAGTCAGAGAATGCTAAACTGGCGATAAACAGATCGGGGATTGTCCGAAGGTGGTCGTATTTCGAGACCGCCAGTAGAACTAAGGCGTTGCCGGCGCTTCCAATGAGGCTGGCGAAAGCGCAGATCAAAGAAAGAACAATTACTGCTTCCTCGGTTAAATAGGAAAGGACAGAAGTAGTATCTTCAAATTTGTCATCTTGAGCTGTCCTTGAGCAGTTCCAAAATGTTTGATTTGACAGGTTGGAAAGCCGTTGAGCCATGTTTGTTACTTTCTTGGCTTTAGATCTAGAAAAAAAGCGTTGATTTCTAAGTTTGCTTCATAAAGACTATAAATACGAGATTGAAGCTTCTAGTTTTAAAGAGAACCTGCAGTAATCTAAATCTAAATCTTAGGGACCGGTCATTATTTATCGCCTGGAAGGGGGGGATTTGGGGCTAAACAAGGTGAAATTTAGCCGATCCCCCCTTTGAATGTTACTTAACTGAAGTGATCCCCCCCCCATGTCGTCATTTTCCGAGGAAATTTGTGTGGACCCTCCTCTGAATCTTTCCAAAGTTTTCATTAATCCCTCCTTTTATTTTCCTAAAAATCAAGGAATCCCCCAAAATCCTCCGCCCCCGCCACGCGATAAATAATAACCGGTCCCTTAATTTTTTGTGTCATATGAAGCTGATTTGGTGACGTCATGATTACGTCATGATCTTCGAAAAGGGACCATCTTTAGTTTCGGTAAGGTAAAAAACGGCTAATGGATTAACTGAAACCAATTTCAATTGTACGGAAAGATTATTGAACGAAATGGGATTTGCAAAATCCATGTGGGACCATAAATAAACCAAATAGCTACCAAGTCAGCTTCGGGTATTTCATGAAAAACTGGAAAAAAAAAGTGAAAGGCGCCACGCCTGCAGTGACTAGGTGCCGGTTTCCTCCCCTCTCAGGGCCAGGGTTATGTTTTTACTTGCTGAGATATTTTTAAAAGAAGAATAATAACAGAACATTCACCCTTCCATGTAATTTTCAACTCAGCTAAATCTATAAGGCGACCGACTGACAGACTAAACCGTACATGAAAAATATTTTTATTGTCCTCTCAAGTACCCTTAATGGCAAAGACGAATTGACGCCAATATCGTCACTAAGCCCCATTCACTTTTATTGGTAAAATACAGGTGTGAATTCGACATTTTGGCAAATTAAACAATTTTGCAAGTCAATCAGATAGCCGGAGGCAAAAAAGTGATATTACTCGATCTAAAAACGTGCTGAGGTAGTTTTGCATAATTTATATTTTTCCGGCAAAGGTTTTCGCGTGATCAATTCCAGATCTATTGTGTGCCACTATCTTTAGAAATTCAATACAAAAGCTTCGATTTTGACAAAAATGGGGGATTCTTTAGTTTATATTAATCCTTATTTACTTTTGTCATTTTAACGAACCCGAAAACAAAAAAACCGAAATCACTTAACAGGCAAAATAAAAGATATTGGGCTTTAAAATGGCGAGATCACTTTCCCAAGAAAACTTATCAAATGAATATACCTAGTAGTACAGTGGCGCGTGTTGAAATTGTTTGACCTGATGGTTGGAATGGAAGAAAATTTTACGGAAAACACAATAGAATTCAGTTCTTATTTATCCTTCAGTACCGTCATCCTAACAGGTATTTGAATATTACTTTTGTGGGTGTCAGAGAAATAAGTAAAGTTGGTAAGAGAACCTTTTCGGCCTTTGAAGTGAAAATAAAGCTTTTTAAATTTCAGGAAAGTTAGATAGTTTAAGAGTGGTACGAGTGGTCGGAAACTATGAGTCTCATACTGCTTTGCAACAGTTACTCACTTATTTAAAAAAATTCAAGGTTTTCCAATTCAAACCCCGTTTTCTAACAGTATTCTTTTTTTGTGTGTGAAACATTAAATTCAGAGAAAATACTTATAAAAAAATACTCTTGCGTTTTATTCGCCTCTAATCAGCAAAGTGGATTTTGAGCCATTGGCTAAAGATGCAATATACTCAACTATACTCCTACTTGGTAGTTGCTACGCTGTCCATTGATTTGTAGTTAAATAACAGAAGCGGAACAGGCGAAAAGGATCTTATATACTCAGTATTGCCAGAACAACAAAGCGTCCACCTACCTGTTGAAAACCCAGAAACTGACTTGGAGCCCCAAACAAGCTCCTTCAGTCAGGCACACTGATTAAGAATTATAATGATCGGCGACATTGTTATGGAGCGTCTTCACCTCTGCGTCATTTATCCTTATAAGGCCGAGGAGAGAAGCGATGTTAGAAAATTTACGGCCGATCATAACGTGAGGGAAAGGGTGTAGATATGATAAAATTTCAGTTAAGCATACGTTATTTGTTGACTGATGTTTACCATGCACAATCATATGACTCAGCCAATTTAGTATTTGCTAATAACCGCCTTGCGGCTACTGATCGCCCATTATCATTTTGTCAAATTGGAAACCGAAAAATTATGTGAATAACATTAAGGGCTAATGTACAGATTAGCCAATGATATTGCTAGAGCCATATAGAGTAAATGGTCAAGACAGAGTCAGTAATTTGTAAACCCATCTGAGCATCACACGAGAGCAAATCCTTAGAATGAAATTCGGTTTCAAAGAATCAAGGAAAGTTACCATCTCAGCTGATATGCATATCTATCAGTCATCTCTTCCCAGGCCAAACAACTCGTATCGCGTCAATTGAAACTTTTGACTGTTGAGAATCTATTCGGCAGGTGCCAATATGAAATTGGAGCGCGTACACGCAGTTGGAGTAAATTAATAGACGCTTGTAAGCAGACTCCGTGTGGCTTTATGCCATCCCTATTGTATGTACAGAGCCAGACGGCAATTCACGCGTAAAAAATTAAAACAGAGAAATATTCTATCTTTTCAAAGTTTTGGTGATTAATTTTTAAAGTGATTTTTATTTTCCATTTATAATTTTACATCACCTGAAACTGTTTTTCTCTTATTTTGCTATTATAATAGTTATCAGTGAGTTATCGGTCTGGATAAAGACTGACACCACGGTTTCATTCGAGAAGTCTCACCCTTCGATTCATTAAAGCGGCAAGTACAACTAAGTACACCCATCTTTTTATTTTTAACTATGAGAACTCCTTTTCATTCAGAAATACTCAAGCAGAACTACTTTTTTCTTGTCGATCAAGGCTACAAGGAAAATTGAGGTATCTCAAGGTGATTGCGGTATAAACAAGAATTCAATACTGATGCCATCCGCTCGCTAATGACCCAAAAAACACGACATTGACAACAAAACAACCGAGCTGTCTCTTTTTAGTTAATGAAATTAAAAACAAATGGCATTTATAATGATAAGCTAAGGCTAGAAATATTCAACCTCGTTCGAGGTTGCCAAATTAAACATTCACCTTCAGGCGACCTTAACCTTTAAAAAATGTTATCTAATATACATTTCTGAACAGTTTTATGTTTATCTTCGATGGTTTGCAGCATAGCTAGTCCATTACATGGTTTGTTATCCATGGCAGCTCAAAACTAAACTATGTACTAAATTTTTGTCTTTCTTCGAATTACTCTTCTCTTTTCATCAAAATCTAGACTAACTAAATAAATACAATACATTAAAAGCGCAAATTTAAGGTCTTCGAAATTAAAATTCTCCAACAACTGTTAATGCATGTTGATCATGCCTTTGAATCTTCTTTCACAAAGTTTTTGTTCACATTTGATGCCCTGACAAAGTGCCCGAATGCTGTAAGCATTCGCTAAAGTGAACACAATCTGCTTTCCAGGCTCACGCAAGAGGTCGGGCACGGTGCCGAGCTCTAAGTTCGAGGTTGAATCGCCTTGTACTCGGGCACTAAAGTCGAGGCACCGGGTTCCTGCGTGCACCCGCTTTTTAGAAAAAAAAACATCGTTCTAAATCTTAAAAATAGTACTAGTCATTCTTGTCAGTCTACATTTTCATTTCCATTATCAACGACAAAGCCTGGGGAACAGCCATACTGAGAAAAGAGCGGGCAAACAAACATTCATCCGCAATTTTGGAGCACACGTTTCTTAGCGACGGAAGTCTGAGCAAGATGTGGGCGAACCGACTGGGCTTGTCTGGATAGGAACAGCTCACATAGTCCCGCAGTGCATCAATGGAACGGTTTAGAATGAAGTCGACCATTTCTCTGTTTTTCAATCCCGAGCTCGTCTCTATGAGAAAAATGGACAAGCAAAATATAAAGAATCCAAATGAAATTATGAAAAAGAAAATAATTATACCGTTACTTGCTTGAATGAAGGCAGACCTGATCTTTGCTATAAAACATAAGAACAACAAGTTGTGAATGAAAGTATTTTTTAATTATTGTGTCCGATAGCTAGGCGCAGTTCTAATCTTGCCTCTCGTGGAACTGTAATCTTTTGATACGTCATTCCCTCATCGCCCTCGACGCCGAGACTGAATATGACAGCGCGCATGCCCCTAGACACAAAAGCGACCCCTGAATAAATCGACCTCTATGAACATCGCGTAAAAATTCCCACTAAAACACACTTAAGAAATCAGAATCTAGGGGGGTTAAAACGAATCGAACTAATCGTCTGAAATTCAGGCCATTCAGCATCAAGATCCAAAAAATAATCACCTTGCTCAAATAGCATGATAGCGTTGACACAAGCAAATTCTGCCATGTCAAGTTGCAAGCTTTGCATCTTATAGGCAAAACCTGCCATCTGTGAGGACCATTGCTCCAGTACCATATTGAATGAATGTTCCGGATTCAGAAGTACATCTTTAGCCACCATGACGGAGCCCTGATGTGGACTGGACCGCTGGCATACTCGAAGGACCAGTAACTCTAGTAAAGCTGGATCAATTAGATAGTTTATATAATTAGTACATGACTCAGATAATATGAAAAAGAATCGAGAGAAAACGATCATGTACACTTGGTTCGATTTTTGTGTTAGTTCTTTGTTGAGAATGATAATGTACCAGCCTCCAGAGGAGATTTTTCTGGAATCATAAATGATTTCGGATTTATTACAAATATGATATTCAGATTCGCAAGCTTTTAGACACATCAGTAAATCCGAGAACATTCATTTGGCTTTGAAGTATCCACTATAAAGTTTCAGATTTCGTGATCTCCGGACACACGACCAAACCAGGACGTTTTTATTACGGATTTACTCATTACTGCCTGTGAAAGGCAAAAGTTTTTTAATACGGTCTCAAAATGTTCCGGATTCGTCGTGAGTGCGGAAAAATCTCCTCTAGCGCAAGCCAAAAATGTATGTAGATGTCCGTCCCGGCCTATAACAGTAACAAAACGTAGACGAAATGTTTCCAGTGTAAATTATATTAAAACGTAGCACAGGAATATTACGCTTTCAATAGGGACTCATAACTCGAGCAGTGCTTAGATTCTTCAATTTCGTGTTAAGTGCGGAATTATCTTTGCAAAAGATATTGTACTAAATTATAAACAAACAACCTGTCAGTTTGGTGCATTTACCTGAAGAAAAGAGGTTAGCCCTATCTTCACGATCCAGCTCTCTAAATCCGGGGACTTTGTAGGCCCAAGCCACCATCAAGTCGACCTCCTGTAGCATTAACTCCATGACAATTTCCACAGGGTTCATGGGACAGATGTCAGCAAACCCAAGGTCCATGTAGTCTGGTCTACTTACAAGAGAATTTCACTGAGTTACAACGTTGTTCAGTGCGAGCAAACTACAATACCTATTGAATTGGGTAACAGTAATGTATTGAATGCAGTATAGTGGTTTTTTAGAGTCATCACAACAATTAAATTTATGATATTCTCTCCTCCGTAGGTGCTCCTTTCGGTATTCCAAACTTCAAATAAAAAAATAAGAATAGTTAAGAGCGCGAGGGGGAGGGGGGAAGATCAGATAGCAAGAGCGAACGGGAGGCCTCTTCCCTTCTCTTCTCCTTCCCATCGTCCACCGCGCGCTTTTTTCTCCCTTCTGCCTGCAGGGCAGAGTTTACGATGAGGTTTGTATTCATGACGTAATTGACACGTGCCGTCGGTAACATGATTCTCTCAAGTAAGGTGAAGTCTCCTAAGTTAATGTTTTGCAATATCCTTAAAACTTTAGGATTAAAAAGGAATGAAATATTCGGGAATTATGGTCCACTCTCACGAAGAAGATGCGCAGGGCTGGAGGTGAGAATGGAAACGAGAGTAACTTTGATAAGTACCCACATTAGCCTAAATCAGCATAACCAACGCTGCAGTTTGGACACAGACTTGAAGGAGGCAGCGGGGCGGAGTGGTCAGCGAGTTGGACTCGTAATCCGGCGGTCCCGGGTTAAAGGCCTGCCTTGGTTGCCTCCTGCCAGTTTGGGTTTTTAATCCTCTTATGTTCTGTTATTTTTTCTAATTATTTAAGTGGAATGCCTGTAAGCTAGCTTAGGGTAAGCAAGGTGCACTGTCCACTATAACAACAGCAATAACAAAATCAGGTTTTCTTACTTCAATGCTCCTCGGACGCAGGCCAGTGTGACAGATAAAACGAGGCCATTTAGGAGAGCACAGAATGATGACTTCCCTGAATTATAAATCAAGCCGGTGATCGGACCAGCTACTGTTCCGCTCTATAGTTCAAGGATATAAGACCTGAAGCCTGTAGCTATTTCTAATCCCTAATGACCATAACACCTCACTCCAATTGAATACGAGTAAGAAATGTAGCTTTAATATACCTTCTCTTTGGCACTGCGTCAGGACGGGCTTGGATAAGTTGCGTGATCAGTTCTGAGGAGACGAATGTGTCCGCGTTTTCTTTCATTCCCATTAAAGACTTGATACGTGGTCTGCCACCCGGTGCTCTGTCCTCTCGAACAGCTGAAAGACGAAAGCGGCAATGTAGACTAAATTGGCGGCTGAAAAGCGATTAGGTTAGTGCAAGACTGCTTGCTACAGGTGGAGTATCTTTGTCTGAGGCCTCGTTTATATGGAACAAACCTGTCAAGGGTAGAAGAGTCACCCTCCCAGCCGAGTCAAAATTAGCGAGCGTTCATGTGAGATAAAAAATGCCTTTGCCCGACCCAACGGCAATCGCGTGTGCTTTGATTATCTCAACCCTGACCAAGCTAACCCCAGCTGGGAGATCCAAAAGGTTTGTATGGAGAAAAATTGGCTCTGCTAAGCTGGAGACCCTACCATCACAAAAGGCTGACCTGGGTAGGTACTATTCTCCGCGCTTTGTAGTTAAGAAAATGTACGAAACATTGGCTCGCCCAGGGTAGCTTTGGTAGGATGGGTGACCCTTCTACTCGGGGCAAATTTTCTCCATATAAACAGGGCCAAGGTAGAGGTGAAGAGACGAACCCACGGATGTTTCAGACTGACTTATAAAACGGTCGCAGAAATGCAGCATTCATCACATGTAGGGCTATCTTCTTGTGATAAGTTAGGTATCTTTGTGAATTTTTCAATCAGTTTTACACCGCATAAGACTGGATTTAAAAAGACATACTAATAGTAATCTTACATGCTTGGGGCAAAGGGGAACGTGATACTGTATAACAGCTACTTGCGAAGCGACAAAGAGTGTGTGTGGGATGGTTTTGACGTGAGAATGAGGCAAGTAGCTTGCGCGAAAAATAGGTAGATCTGTGTCACAGACGAAATGGCCTCCGTTGTCAATTTTCATCTACGTCTGTTAGAAATTAGGAACTGTCGACCACACAGAAAATAAAAACTATTGATTTATTATTTCGACATCCTTTTGTGGTTTTTTTCGTCAACCATTTTCCTAAAGCCATAAATAGAATTAAAGAGTAAAGAATTAGAACCCGTATAATTTTCGAAATTTGCTGGGTTTTGAACGTAGGGTAAAAGCGGAGGTCTAGCAGAAAAATAGTTAACAATCTCAGGGCCCTAGTGATCGGAGGTGTACCCTTGCTGTCTCATGTAAGTTTACAGTTGTTTAGGAAGGCAGAAATCTCTGGCAGAAATAGAAGAAGACATACGGCATTTTTACCTGGCGAATTTTAAATTTTTACCTTCCTTGAGCATCCCTAAAGACAGGCATTTTTGAAATCTGCAGAACTGGCATCGAATCCGATTATTCTTGTCGATCTGACATGACATGTTTTCCACGCAGGTATAGTGCAGTTGTTTCTGAACTGTACGTTTGAAGAAGCTCTTGCATCCTTCGCAGCTTTGTACGCCATAATGAAACCCAGACGAACGATCTCCACAGATGGCACAAATTCGGTTTGTGTTGTATGATTTCTCCATTTTCTGCTACTATCCTCCTAGTCCTCCTAATCCTAACGGGTAAGAGAATAAAAAAATGTGCCAAGATGGTTAGCAGATTAAAAGACTTATATAGGCACTTTTACAAACATTTCAAACTGTCAAACGCAAGAAAGCCCCTTACTATATCTTTAAAAAAAGCAAAATTCGGAAGACTTTACAAATATAATATCAAATAAACAGATTGCAAAGAAGACGTGGACGAGAAATCGTAATTTTGAAGAGAAGTAGAGAGAGAAAAAAGAAACTTTACAAGGATTTAAAACATTGGCCTTGTTGCGAGCAGAACCTACCAAGAAACCTTGTGTCACGACAAAAAAAAATTGCAAACAATACGAAACTTCCTTGGTTCTTTTTCTTATACAATTCTCCCACCCTTTGTACTCTGTTTACAACACATCGATCCTTCACTCACCGTATATAACAAGGTCACTGTAACAATCAAACGTCACACTCGTTTAAGCTCCAGTGTTCATATTTCACTTTGCCAAATACTGAAAATCTTAAAGAACCACGAAAAAACATCCCTTAAGAGGATTCATAGTCACACAACCTATGATTTCGTCCATGTTTAAAAGCTATAACTACATTATTTTTTCAATACCTTTCTGTGACAAAAAAGAGACTGTCTCAGCTCGTTAAGTTCGTAGCTGAACCTTGCAATCGTTTTGAATATTAAGGAGAACATATTTTAGCATTTTTTTTAGGGTCTTATTGCATGTTCTCATTTCTATCAGAGCGATAACATTTTCCCAATATATACACACTCTGTTTATTTCTAACCGAGGTAAACTTTTGTCATAAACAGGCCAAAATTGATCGATATTAAAACCAATCTTTCTGCCATTTATCTATTTATCAGGTGGTACAATTTTCACCTACAGAAATGTAATTACAGTGTCTTTTTATGAATGAAACAAAATGATTCTTTCCAATTATATGATTCCTGTAGAAAGGCATAGAAAGCATGTGAAATTTCCACATGTTGTACAACCCTAATTTTGTTGCATTCAAAAGGGGACAATATCCTTTTTAATTCTATCAATTGTTACTTTCACTGAAATGTTTCGAAATAAATCATATTTTACTCAAGGGGAGGACAGCTTTCGATTTGTCGTCCGCAGGTGCTTTCACGGCTCAATGCGAATGGCGTTCTAGATAGCGACTTCAAGTTCTCAAAAGCTCTACAAGTTACTGAAGTTATATTTTACGTCTTTGAAGAATACCCTGATGTTTTAAGCTGCACTTAAATGTGAGACATAATATATGGTCATTAAATAAAGACAAAAAGGCTTGACTTCTTCCCCGCGTTTACTTAAGCTCTCATGTATGGCTTATCACCCTCGGGTAATTCACTATTAGTGAAAGAACAGTTTTCGCTAAACAAATTCAAATGTTTGACTTCCACATTAAAATTTCCTCTTTGTCAAAGCGATTTATCTTGCAAAGCTAGCTCTTCAGTTCCTGTAGCTATAACATTAAAACGTCCAGAGGTATTCCTGTAAATATTATTTCTTTTAGTTCAACGAGAATAAAACGTATTCAATTAAATCTTACTCACCTGGGTAACAACACCGAAAATCGTTTCCTTGAATCTATTTCGAAGCAGGAAACAAGCCCATAAAACGCCTCAGCTCTTTCCGAGATTTCCGAACAAAGCAGAACTGACGAAAACCCAAAGGACTCTGTTCTTGCTGGTGTCAGTAAAATTTGCGAGAAAGCTAAACTGGAAATGCGGAAATAAATGACCTGTTTATTAAACAAAGCATCATAACTTAATTTCCCGAAAACGTTTACTCAAAAGACCGATGCACAAAATATCATGCGCCTAATTAGAAACTCAAACTTTTAAACAAATTTCCATTTACTCGACCCACTGAGTAGGGCATTTATTGTTAAGAGCTCGTGGCTCAGGGGAAGTCGATGGGCTTGATAAGACAGGCGGATAAATTTTTCATTGTTGTTTATGAAAAAGCAGTTTTGCAGCTGTTGAAGTTCTCATTTCGTTAGCAGGAATTTAAATAGTATTTGATAAGCGCTATGCAAATGTTTCATTGTTACTGTGTGCCAAAAATCAAAATGATATTCTTTTAATGTTTGTATTCAAGTCCAGCACGTTTTTATATCTCAGTGGAGTCGGAAAGCGCTGTTTCACTAGTTGAAACCGTTTTTTGTTATCGCTGAGAACTTTTGATGATATATTGAAGTTTATTTTTTATCAAAAAACCCGTTTTTACGTTTACTATGTCATGCAAGTATTGCTATTGAAAAACACCGTGTGATCAGTTTGACATACTTTATTGATTTTCTCCCGCGGTGAGCAAAAAGAGCCATCTTTAGAACAGCAACGCCTTATATCCTTTTCATAAGCTTCTCTGACGAAAAGTAAACATATTTTCTTAAACTGCTAACCTTTTTACAAAAAGACGTCGCAGACAAGTGTGACAAAGCTGGTCTTTTAAATTGTTTACTTAACAGCCCCTTATTTCATTTTTTTCGAAACAGAATTCGTGAGTAACTCAAATGTATCTTTTTTCTGAAAAATGTTGCTCCTCTTATTTTTAAAAAAATTACTGATTGAACAGTGAACAGGGAGGGAAATTTCGTTTTCCACCATTCACGTTCAAGTGCAGTCAAGTCAATCCTCGACTACTCAGTGCAATAATAGCTCCAGACGTCGCGAAGTAATAACAGCTTTTGCTCTACTATATGCACGTAGCCTCAAAACCGTTCTGTCTTCTTACTTATCTTTAATTTGCCGGACAACTAGTAATCTTCAAATAAAAGTAATGAAACATATGTTAGTGAATACGCAGTTCAAAGATTCTCCCTCCCCTGACAAATTCAGAACTGTGTAATATTCTTCCCTATGAAACAGAAATCCGTACTAAGCAACACGACGGGAGATGGGAAGAAAACACATTTGTTTAGCCGTGAATTAGTGTCCTTTCAGATTTCAACTGACTATTGCAACTTGGCCAGATCAGTTGGTCTAATTATAACCCGGCGAAGTTTCCTTGAGTTGAGTTACAGTTCAGAGCTTTAGCAACGACAACGGCGACTGCAACAAACAATGACGTCACAATTGAAAAGACTTCGCGTTTTCTCTAACTTTATAATTGCGGTTATTCCAACCAGCTTTGAGTGTCAACTATAGTTAACTACAGCCGAGTTTGACTAGAAATGAATTCTTATTGAACAAATACAAGTTAAGAAGAAGAACGAAGAATTCGTGTTTTTTTTTCTTTTTTTTTGCTTCCCCCATAAAACGTCGCATAAGGGAACTTCACATCGTGCGGCAACAATTCCCCGCTAGAAGAGCTGGGCCTCTTTGCTGGTAATCGGGGGCTTCTCTTTACCCCCTGCCCACCGAACACCAAGAAAGAGGGCTTCGCTAGCACTTGAGGAAATGACGGGAAAGAAACAATGTAATCTACACCTGCAAAATTGTTGTTTTGCTTGTTAAACCTATCATTTTTAACGTTCTTGTTGCTGTTGCCGTCCACGTTGCTATAGAAGGACTATTAGGCCTTCCTTCTTAAGGGGTTTTATGAGAGAATATTTTAGAGGGGAGGGGTGGCAAGGGGATCTGTCTTCCCTTTTACTTTCTCCCTTCTTCTATCCCCTCCCCTCCCACCCCAGAAACGGCTTAAACTCAGGCTAATACTAAAGTTCCCTCGACTACGACGGAGACTAGATTTATCAAATGTTGGCGAATTTTTCTGGAGTTCAATTCTAAAGGACTGTATCTTCGTTTAGAAAAAGAAAAAGAGAATCGTTCACCAGTATACATGTTCACAGTACTGCGGACTACAGATAAAACATGAAATTAGGAAGTTTTCAAATCGCAGTCGTGCAAAAATATGTACAAAAATGCGGGATTCGTGTGCAAAGTTATCTTACTAATCTACACTTGTTGCTTTTTCGCCGATCCTCTTGAGCCCGAACGAGGAAATCTGATATCGAGGGAATGCTAACACTATTCCTGGGCAATTTTTATCGACTTTAGTAAAGAAGGGACTTGTTCATCTTCTACCTTTCGTGACTCACGCCTTGCATGTGCTCGATGTCAATCGGAAAGTTCTGTTTTAGCCGGGGCCGTTTCGATGAGTAAAATACAGTCCTATTTTTGAGTCTAATACAGGGCCAATACAGTCCAATTACCTAATGCTGATTTGATTGAGCTGTTTGGACCTAAATTGTGCTCAAATGGCTCCAAAAGAGGCTGAATCAGACTTTGGCCTGCAGGGCTGAACTGGCCTTTTGGGGCTGAAAAAGAGCTTTGTAATTTTCCGTTTGTCTATTTCTTTGTACTGTTCTGTTGTGGATCCTTGGTTTTCTTCCCATTGTATCGGTGGATTAAAATGCGAATTAAAATTTTTCATTAGTATGATCAGAGCCATTGTGCTCAGAATTTCCAGATCCTAAGCTTCACATACATTTCTAGTTCCGTCAAAAAGCAGTTTTCAGACAAAGAACATAAAACATCAATATCAATATATGCGCACCAGCTTAGCAATTCCAGGCAAAACAAGCAAACCCGCGTCGCGTTAAATTGGACTACATAGGAGATTTGAAGATCTCTTTTGATGTAAAGAGGCAGCCATCCGTGCAATGGAAATAAGGACTAAATGGACTTAATGGCATAAGAGAAGTTTATTGTGCAGTTGTGAGAGGAACAATAGAACCAAGTCCATGCAATGGAATTAAAGAATAGATGTTTCTTTAAATCGTCCATAATTACAAGAACGCCAAAAACGACTCAAATCCTGCAAATCAGCCGATGACCCAAAGGGAAAGTTTTTACTTTTAACGCCTCAGATAGTCGGAAAATGAAGACAAGTCTATGAGTGTTAAGTCCGCTATGAAGAAGCAAACCGCTGATAAGGAAAAAGCTTCATCGCCCATGTTACTTCGTCACACTACCATAGGAAAGTCGCCTCCTCAGTCACCAAAGTTGGCGGCCACCTTCAAAGCTGAATTCAGCCCTACTACAGGCGATAATATTTTTGAAAAAGCACCATGTGTGTCCTTCATCACCGATGATACAGACACAAATAAACTAGAAACGGTTACGGAAGTCAACGAAAGGCGCAAATGGAGAAGAGCAGCACTGGCTGTTGCAATAGCCAGTTTAATGGCTTCGCTTTTGTTCTGCGCGGCTTCGCTATTCGGCGCGGCCACTATGGGAAGTTCGGCCGTCCTTGCTTCAGCCCTTGATACGCTGTTGGCCGTACTTGGCTCTGCTGTGGTGATCTGGCGGTTTAGCGATGACAGAAACGGCTCAGTTGGTTCCAAGAGAGAGAAGTATGGATCGATAGTATTTGGCGTTATGTTCACAGTAAACGGCGTCATATCAATAGTGGTATCCACATTTCATTTGCTGGACGAACATAGACCGACAGACACTAACATCACGTGGCCAGCTTTGCTTTGTTTCAGCTTTGTTTACCTTGTTCTGACCATTCTTGAGAACTGGATATATCGACAAAATAAGAGCTCCGTACTTTTTACGCTATTCGTCGATGATGCGGCGACCAGTGCCATTATGTTTGGTCTTTTTATTAGTGCACTACTACTTGATCAAATCCCGAGCTTGTGGTATTTAGACCATGCGGTTGCTATTGCGCTTGCGTTGGTTCTTATAGCAACAGGCTTGAAGATCTTTGTGGATATTTTTGTTTACAACGAACTTCCTTTCCATTAAAATGTTCAATAGGTAAATTATTGAGAGTACAAGAAAAAGGAAAGAGACTGCATGTAGACGATTTATGGTCTTTTCGCCAACCCCAACTTCATTAACGTAATTAATGGCTTAAAGAACAAGTTACACATTTATGTACAAGACTTTTACTTATTATAGCTCAAAAAACTTGGTATATACATGCTTAGCGCTCGTTTTGCTTCGTTAGCAAACGAGACGCTGGCGAAATGAACGGCACTAGGTAGACTTCGTCTGCAAAACAGCTTTAAGGAATCAAATGACTTTTGTGTTGGGACAAAGTGCTAAATTTCGACACTTTGCACCACACCTGCGTTTTTTTTCCTTCTTTTTTGCATAACAACATGAAATTGAACGGTCTTTTATTAAAGTATGTTTACCAAATATATGCATTCAGCTGTCCGAAAGTTTTACCGCGGTTTCTTCTCAGAGTAAGGTCTGGTTTACAGAAGAAACCTGTAGTTGAGAGATGTATGCTTGTTACTGGTGCATCTTACAGAAAATATGGGAAGAAAACTTTGGAACCTACTGATGCTCCTGTCCGCTTATTTTCAGGTTCCCCAAAGCATCCTTTCTACACCTTGATGGCGATATTCCCCAAAGGTCATGCACTTTTCACTAGGGAACGTGTAATGGGACTAGACGGACAATATTTAACAATTGTTGGACGAGTTTTAGCAAAATATCGTGATTAGTTAGTGGCGAATAATTGATTTGCGAGTCGAGATTGTGCGAGACACTGACAAATCACAATATTTTGTCATAACTGAGTTCAATAACTGTTTTTTCATTCGGTCACCGAGTTTGTTTGTTTTTTTTTATGAATATCTCACATTTTGCCATTTTAAAGCAAGTGCGATCGCAAGGAGTACAGTGTGCTTTCATTTACGCATGAACAGCATATTATTTGCAGCCAAACACAGATGGACGACCTTGCGCGTGAGCAGACCATTTTTTGTAGGCAGTTATTTGCAGGTCACTTGGTGGGCTATTGACCAATGAAAAGGAAGAGAAATTTGCATCCAATGATAAAAAAAATATCGAGCGGAAAAAAGGAGGAGTGGGGATAAAAAGAGCACGTTTAAAGTGGTAGCATTGGAATACTTTTTTATTATTGGGCTGCTCTTAGACTGTTGAAATACATGCGACCCTTTTTTGTAGACTTCTACTGTTGATTTGTCGATGGCCTGCGAGGGAAAAAGGACAACAAGATTTTTTACCAACAATACAAAAAAAATACCTACAATAGGTTGTTCAACATTTTCCAAAGCGGCTGGGGTGAAGGGATAGTTTAGTAATCAGGGCCGAGTTGCTCAAAGCTGGGTTAAGATAACCCAGGGTTAGTGCGAGGTTTGAATTCAGATTTGAAGCTTAAAAAGCATTTCAGTTTTAATTCTCTTTGTCTACAAGTTGATGATTGGAAGCTCTAAAAATAGCACAGAAAATTATCCGAGAAAATGCTTTCAAACACAATAAAAAGAAACCCGGGTTAAATTTAACCCGGGGTTAAGTGCTAATCGGCTTTCGAACAACTGGGCCGAGTTGTTCAAAGCTGGGTTAAGATAACCAAGGGTTAGTGCGAAATTTGAATGCAGATTTGAAAGCTTAAAAAGCAAATTCATTTTAATTCTTCCTGTCTACAACATGATGATTGGATGATCGTAAAAGAACAGAGAAAATTACCCTAGAAAATGCTTTCTAATAAAAGAAAAAGAAAACCCGATTAAAATTTCACCTCAGGTTAGCGCTAATTAGCCTTCGCACTGGGCCCAGGACCATAAATTAAAATAACTTAGACCTTGGGCAATAAAAGAGAACCTTAAATTCGCGGACGACTACGAGTTCGAGATTTAACGTATTCTAAAAATATAAATACACCCAGAAGTCTTTTTTGGACGTTCTTTTTTCACCGTAAAAGTCAGAATGATTAATTTTATTGAAGGAGATTAAGTCCTCTCACTATCGCAAAATGATAAAACTTCTTCTTCCCCTCCAAAATGACGCTGGTTTACGCGCGCACTAGTTAGTATTCGACATTTGTACACCTTCCATAATACCCGTTGTTTGCTCAGGAGAATTGACCACTCCAGAAAATACCATAACATACCATAATGTTCTTTGTTTGTCACCCCAAAATTTTGCACAAGCATTGCCTTCAATTTCTCTGGGGAGATAAAATGGCCCCGACAGAAACTGAAAACAATGCTTATGCAAAATTTTGGGGTGACAAACAAAGAACATTATGGTATGTTATGGTATTTTTTGGAGTGGTCAATTTATAAACAAAGGTTATGCAAAATATTGGTGGGCAAACAAGGTGTATTATGGGAGATGGGCAAACGGTGAATTGAGAAAATCTCGTCGCCTTCTCTAGTCGTCCTCGTCTTAGAATCCAAAGGTCTATAAAAAATAGCCTTGAAGAGGTAAAATAACAAAAAAAGGACGTCAACTTACTTGGCCCATTCGACATTTAAGATAAGATGATCGTAACCAAATCCCTTGAGCGCCATAATCGCACGGGCTGCATCATCGCGTCTTTGAAAGTTTATAAAGGCGAAACCCTGTAAACAGAGAAAATGGAAATTTTTACAGCTTACTCTTTAAAGTACCACGAGTGACCAACATCAATTTTCTTCTGACAATAGTGAGTTTACGCAACATGACGGCAGAAAGAAGAGGACGGCAAAACGCTTGGGTGACAAACGTGACAGGCCTATTACTTATGTCTTTTGTGGTGATCTTCACTTAAGTTAATGTTTCTGAAAAGACTTGTTTAAAGGAGGGTGAAGTTTGGCGAACAAGTTTTCCAAAATAACTATTGTCACGCTTGTCATGCAAGGTTTGCCGCCTTCTTTCCTCTCCCGTCCTGTTGCGTGAGCTCATTAATATCACCACACACATGTATTCATGAGAAAAAGTTAAATGAGAATCAATAAAATGATCACCGAAAGGAAAATACTTTGATCTTTTACAAATTCTCCGAACTAATTTTACAAGGAAATGTACGGAGATAAGTCTAAAGAATTTGTATGTGGATAATGGGGTTAGGGCCGGTTAACTATCTGAAAGAAGGACAAAAAAGGGGCCGCCCTAAGAGTCTTTATTGTATGACTTGCTTCGCAAGTGGAAAAGTCTGATCCGCAAGAAAAGGTTAGTTTCGGCCATAAAATATATCCTTTCAGTAGTGGCCATGCTTGTTCGGTTGAGATGACTGACAGATAGAAGAGATTTAAGAGTCACGTTCACGGCAAAGGGCAAACGGCAAACGGCAAATTCAAGTTGAGAATTTCTCAGAATAGAAAATAAGCAGATAAAAACTGTCCAGAACAATTCTTGTGGAGAAAACTGGCGTGAAACCACTTATTTTTGTGTAGAGGTAGTAAACAGTAAACGACAAATTCGGGGAAAACTTGGTGAGGTGGTTTGGCGTTTGGCGTAAACCTGAATCTTTATCTCTCTAATATTGGCCTCGTTCTTGTATTGCGTTTTTATGGAACCCGACTTGTCTTTGTCTCGGTCCATACAACTTCATGCTTGGTTGATAACACATAATTTTGACTTAGATAGGAATCCGCCTTTTTTAAGACTAGAAAGTTAAAGGAAACGGCTGAACCGAGGGAAAATTGCTGGCAAGTCAAGCATCGTACCTTTGACTGGTTAGTTATCTTGTCTTTGGCTAAGAAGATCCTGGAAATATAGCCAAATGGACGGAACAACTCATTCAAGTCATTTTCTCTGGTGTCTTCAGACAAGTTTGTTACCCGAATAGTTGCTGTTTCATCTAATTAAGGTAGAAACAAAAACATGATAAATACATTAGTGCTTTACAGCCTGTTAAAGATGCTGGAGCAAGGAAAATAATGAAATAATAATTACCAAAGATAGCCTGAATTTCAGACGATTACTTCGAGCCGTTTTTACTCCCTCACGACTCGAAATAATCGTCTGAAATTCAGGATATGGAGTGTTTTCACATGACGTCACAGCGGCCAGATTGGTTTCCCAAAACAATGAAACGGCGGCCATGTTGGTTTCCCAAACCAGTCCTCTGGGAGTTGAACTCTTTTCTTATACAACCGCTTTCTTTTGTTCCAATAAATTTGCATAGATGCTGGCCACGTGAATGAAAACACTCTATACCAAAAGGAGAATGCTTAGATCTTTTATTAAATTCTCTCAACTAATTCCTTAAGGAAAATGTATGGAGATTAGTCCTGAGGATTTATATATGGACACTGGGGCTTAATGGGTAGTAACACTATCAAAAATGGTTAAAACTTTAGAGTCCAGAAAAATTCATACATGTCTTTGGTGTGACCATTCAGTTGAAACCTCTTTAGCAGTACTTTTCCATGGCACAGTGTACTATTTGTTTTCCATTATTTTACAAAGTGAAATGTGGACTTTAAAAGTGAATGCTTGCAGTGTTCAATACTACAATCTACCTTGACGCTGACGGGGCATAGTCTCTCCTCTTCGGTTTGCTGCACCTTCACGCAATCCAGGTGCAATGTACTTTCCAGTCTTGGATGCTGCAGATGGTTCTGCAGTACCTGCGGCTGCTCCTAAAAACAGAACCACAGCAAACCTTGACTCAAAACAAACAAAATCAAAGTTGCTCACATTAGCTTTCCGAGCAAATTTGGCATTATTTCTCAAATGATCTCATTTTGGCAGGCAATCACAAGAAACTCACAAGACAAAGTGTCCCAGTACATTGTCAGAAGTCGGATTCAATGTGACATCAAACATGCCAATATCTTATGCTAGCCTCCAACACAGGCGTTTTTAGGGGAGCTTGTATTTCATCCCTCCCCACAAACGCCTGCCCAACGGAGAACAACTTTCCTTTCCCAAGCTTAGCCAATCACACTGTACTTTCCAAAATCTGGAAAGTTGACCTTGACCACAGGGTAACCTGTTAATTACTCGATCTGCATGAAACACAAGGAAAGCTTTATAACCTCTTATAAAATGTTAGACTCAGAGCGGCAAAAGTAAGATTTAGTCAGATTTTAGAATACTCCATGCACTGAATAACCTTTGCGAAGGAAAGAAAAGAAGAAAAAAGGTCACTCTGGGGTCACGTTTTTACACTACCACGAGGTTATGAGTCATGTTTAGCCTGTCAACAGTTTATTTCACAACTGATTGGTCACTTACCACGTGAATAAAACAATGGGAAAGGAATGTTGTTCTCGCTTGAGCAGGTATTTAAGTGGGGAGGGACGAAATATGAGCCCCCCTAAAAACGCCTGGGTGGGAGGCTAGTCTTTCAAATTAAGAGTTTGACTGGACTTTACAGCAGGCAAAACTTTGCTAAACAATTTCTAGGTTTGACGAACAAGAAAAATGACAAATTTCTCATCTTTTAGATAGCAGTTATTACAAAGTATATACGTAACCTCAGTGATACTGTAAACACTTTACCGGTAGAAGGTTTAGAATCATTGACTTGACTTTGTATCATTTCTAGTTGATCTTTGTAGGGGCACTTGGTAGTCCAATGGTCTCCTTTGCAGTGACGGCACTGTACAATCTTCTGCTGGCTTTGACTTAGCTTCTTAAGTGGATCTTCGTTTTCTTGTTGTAAGTCCTAGAAACGTCAATTGAGTAATAACTTTTATCTTTCAATTTCGAAAGAGCTAAAAATTGCTCTTCCTGGAAAATTTTCAACCCTCTTTTGACCTTCCATCATGTGAAACTTACAAGTAGGCAAAGCACAGCCTTGGAGCAAGAGCATTTTAACCTTTGATCAATCTCACCTGCTCTCCCTAATCTTAAGCTATTACTAGTGATAAAATATTAAGGACACTTGCTTTTTGCCTTGCAAAAGTTTAGTTATTAATTTTGCAAGCCAAGGCAGTACCTTAGTTTCTGTAAGACCCAGAGTATTTATCTGGTCAGAGGGATCAAATTTGCGACCTCCCACTAGCGCAGTCCATCGCTCCAACAACCGAGCTTATCCTCAGTGGTTTAGTTTATTTTGCAAACAGAATTATAACAAAATTTACGAAACTGGTCAACATAATTTTAAGTTACCTCCTTGTTTGAAGTGAGGATGAGGAAAACATCATCAGTGACTGTAGTTGTTGATGGATTTGGTCCTGGACCATCATTCTTAGCATCTCCAAATTTCTTCCATAGCTAAGACAGTCATAACAACAAAGTAGTGAATGACCCATACACATGTAAGCAAAAGTATTCAACAGCCAATCAAGGTGCTAGCCTGCTGTGCCAGGGTATTTTTCACTCAAGAGAGCGCTCAAAATTCCTGTGTCTCATTGCAACTTTTGACTTTGAAAGCAGAGCAAGAATATGGATATCCTTGTTGCAACTACAGACAGGAATTTGGAGTGCTCTCTTGTACAATCAATGATATTTTTGCCTCTAAATCGTATAAGAACAACTAAATTTTTTAAACTGCAAGAACTAATACATGTAGCTGCTTCATATATATTTGTGCACTGACTCAAATAGCATTACAAAAGAATAATACCTTATTATAGGAAATTAACACTTGAGGGTTAATTAAGGTATTTGAAATTAACGCGACTTAAATTAACGTGAATTAAAGGAAAAGTACTTTCCAATAAAGAAAATTAACCTAAAAGGTGGGGTAAAATTTTCAAGGAAAGAAGATTAATGCGATGTACAAAAAGAAACAAAGTTGTTTAAACACCAGGAACAAATGTATTTTTAAAACTTGACCGAGATCCAGCAAGTAGATGTTGAGAGTTATCCTTCTTACAGCGACCATGAAGATGAAATGTTGTTACAGTAATCAATTTGTGAAAGATAGATCTGAAATAAAGTGCGCGAAACTAAAGCTAATCAGTTTCCTCGGAGTCAAAAATGTCTGGAGAATGTCGAAAGTTTGGACCCAAAATGATAGACCCAAGGTCCAAACGGCTGGAGCTTATACCAGTTTCCATAGCCTGAAGCATGCCTAGAAGTATTGCTACTCCCCCCTGAATGGAATCCTAGTCCATGGCAGGGTTACCCCCAGCAGTATGTTGCCCGTACCCATTTATACACCTGGGTGACGAGAGACAAAGTGGAGTAAAGTTCCTTGTCTAAGGAAACAATGTGACGGGCGAGGCTTGAACCCCGGACCTCCAGATCCAGAGTTTGAGGTGTTAACCGCTAGGCCACACACACCTCCACAACAAAAATCGGTTAAATCATTCCTGCTGAAAAAGGCAATTCAAAAACATTACTAACAGGCTTATAAATACGTTCGGGCCACCTTAACAGCTGGAATAGTGGAAATTAGGTTATTAACCAGGGTTTATTAAGGGTAAGGCTCTTAATTGAGAAGATGCAGTACTCAAATTTGAAATACAGAACATTCGCTTACCTTTCTTTTTGCTATCACCTTTGAAACTCTTTTTGTTTCAATTTTAAAGGTCCTCACAATCTGTATACGAAATTATAAAACTGTTATATGGTACTGTTCAAAAGCAAGTTGACAGTCTCGACTCAAAACTCGATTGTCGCGACTTGAAGCTCGAACAAATCAAGTTTTGAGACACGCGAATCAAGTCTCGAGACGCAAGAATTGACTTTTGAGTTCGAGAAACCAGCAATTTGAATATGCATCACTCGAGAGGATTCTAAGAAAGATTTCTCAACAAAGATAACGGCCATTCTGATTTATGCTAAAGCAAAAATCCACACTGACCATCGGCCCTTGACATGCACACTTGCCATGTGTAAGTTTTTCCGTGATAAAAAAGGACCAATAAACAGAATAAACGGTTGTTTATCTTGAATTTTTGGATAATTGAGTCTCTGTATTTGTACAATATTATGAACTATAAGAGATGTTTTACTTTCGTACATATTAAACGTTTGAAGGTATGTAATTATGTTCGTTGTGTCGTCGTAGAATATGATCTTGAATTATGATAGCTGCCATGAATGTTTTTCATAAACTTCACTTTTTTGCACGCCCTTCAAGAATTACCACAAAACATTTAACAAATTTTAAAAGGCATAGTGTAAAGCTGACAGAAAAGTATATAAGAAATCCCCAAGTATAACTATTTATAGCAAGCTAGAATGCTAACATGAAAGTAAAATTTGCACATGTCAAGCATAATTTGAAACCACTTGCTTTAACTTGACACACAATTTGAAACACTTTAATGCATACAACAGCGCCCTAACATTTCTAAAGGCAACAGTCATGATCACTGAAGATTTCTCCAAGACTTTCTCATTCGAGGTCATTTTTAGAGGAGAAACTTGAACTGAACCACAGGGGAAAAATTACATGACATATGTGCTTGTTTGTTGCCTTTTATCTGCAGTAATTTTTAGCCAGGGGTCAACGACCAAAAGTTTCCATTTTGGTTTTCAAAGCACAGAAAGAGCAGGGAAATTGTCAGGCATTCAACTCGCCCATTAAACGTACGGATACAATTGGAAAGGGCAAATTTTGTTTCACATGAAAGACAGAGAGGCTTGCAAAAGCCATTTGTGGCAGCCTGCAGCATGTGCCTCACAACCCTTTAAACCAGAGGGCTGTCTGCTTGATGAATTTGTTCCTTGGGAGATCAGTCAAGTGACAAGCTCATTATATTTTTTGACTCGACTCTTGATACTTGAAACCCAAGAATCGATCGATTCTCGAGACTTGATTCTCGAAAGTTTCAAGTCTCAAGACTTGAGGATCAAGACTCGAGTGACTTTCAACTTACTTTTGGGCGGTACTGTAATATGTTGTGAGTTGAATTTCATTTATGGTTTAAGTTTTATTTTCCTTTTTTATGGGTATGGTAAGGTATCATACTGAGTTTGAAATAGAGAAGAGTCATTTAAACTAAGAATAGAATATTGAACCATGACATGTACATTAATTTGATCTGATCAATGTTACATAAATTATTTTTCATCTGTATTAACACGTGTATATTTACACAGTGATAATTCACCACTTTAGAAATGATAAGGAGGCTGGTGCCAAAATGCCTTGTGCGCAATATCGTTTCTGGAATCATTCTTGGGGACTTCCTGGTCAGCTATTGGCCAATTTTCAGGGGCACCCAACGTCAATTTTCGGAAAAATTAATATCTGTTCGGAAGATGATTTGAGATCTAGAATTTTCAGAACATTTGTTGCAAAATTTCTTGCTTGTCTGCCTCTCCTAGAATTTTCGAACATCTAAAAAATGGTATAATTGCCCATTTTTAACGGATTTCCACCTTAAAAAGGTCACCTAGAATTTTCAGGAGCCTTTTTTCTGGCTAAAATTTTCGAAAAGATAAGTTTTGATCACTAGAATTTTCGGATCACTAGACTTTCAGCTAGGAAATCCGAGCAGATGAAAAAAAAAATGCCTATATCTACCGTTTAAATTATACTAAAATACGTTTAACAATGCTATGTTTAAGTGGTTTTGACCTATATTCTTGTTGGGTGCCCCCTTTTTTTTTTCCCTGCCCCTAGTAACAGTCCCTGGAATCTTTTTGAAAGTAAGCTCTGCCCAGTTTCCTAAATGGTAAAAGAGTTGTAAATATTATAGTACCTTAAGTAGCTTTCCATCTTCATTCCTTTTGAACTCAGTTACAATTTTTGTGTCTCCTTCAATAACCTCTGATGCAGGGGGTAAGTGATCTAAGAGGAGAAAAATATAAACAGCCGATAATTATCTCCACCTTCCTTTGTTGGTCTTCATATTAAGATGAAAATAGCTTCCAAAACACCAGACACACTGAGATATTGACCAGTGATACAATGTATGGTGGAATGATGATTTTTTGAACCTCCAGGGAGTGAAAGTAACATTGTAGTGTTTGACTGAGGAAGGAAAGAGATAAACTAATTTTGCTGGGACTGCTTAATAGCCGTACCTGATTCTCCTTCTTCCACTAAGTCGGCCCAACTTGGCTTCTCACTGTTGGACAAGGTAAAAATAGTGAAACAAGAATAAATTTCTCTTCAATTTACTGCAACTATGTGACTCTCATAACTTAACAAAATTTTCTAATCTGATCTGCAATCATCAGCTCTAATATGACCACTTTTTTGGGTTGATGGTTTTAAAATTTTCCATTGTTTTACGTTATAATGAACGAAAGGGAACCGTAACGTCCTACAATACTATCAAGTTAGCGGCTAAATTAAATGAATGTTGCCGCCATCTTAAAACCAGCGGAAGAAATCGTCAAACGAATTTCAACTTAAATACACGATAAACTGTACAATTTACGAAGGAAAAGGCTAAATGAACTCTTACTCGGTGTCTTTGTCGAGAACTGGCATCCGTCTGCTGATAATAAGTCAATTACACTAAGTTAATTTCCAAAAATTTTCTGAAACAAACTCCTCACGCGTGAATGTCGTAAATCTCAGCCCACGGTCTTATTTGAATGCGGCAAAATAAAACAGTGAATGAGCATTACCCACAATCCATAGAGACATAAGTTTTCAAGATGGCGGACGAGGTGATTGGAATTTCTGCTTTATTTAAGCTTTCTGTATTTTAGCATTTATGATAGGTATATTACTTTTCGTCCCCAGACTTTTAAAGGTCGTCTATGAAAACCTTACAACGGTCATTGGTTGTTGTATAGCTATAGCTTTGAATTCAGTAAATCTCATGGTTTTTGAAAGTGATTTAAGCTTAAATAATATTATGCTTAATTTAAGCTCGCTTTATTTTTATGTCTCGTTTCGGTCCTTGCGCCTAGGTGGAGGAAAAGTGCAAAAAGAAAAAGAAAGGTAGGAAAGGATTCCTTTCACAGCATCACTCGCATAGTACCTCCTTATAATCAAGCAGCAAACCTTTATGTAATTTTTGTTACTTGTATAGTAATATGTAATCTGTTTACCCATGGAACATTTAGGAGTTCTTAAGAACTTATTGAACCGTGTTTGTGCGTTCCAGATCGAATGGGAATTTGGAAGTGTTGGTTTTTAAGGAGAGGGCCGGAAAACCGGAGTACATGTTCCTGGAGAAAACCCTCTCAGAGCAAGGGAGAGAACCAACAACAAACTCAACCAACATATGGCATCAACATATGCCAGTATTCGAACTAAGGTCACACTGGTGGGAGAAGAGTGCTCTCACCTCTAAGCCACCCTTTCTCCAAATAAATGATAATAGTGTATGTACGCATGGTGTGTAGCTTAAGCATAATATGGGATCAACAGGTGGACCCCTTAAAAAAACCCTTATATGGACCCCACAAGCCTTAGTTAACACAGCACTAAAGGCTTACTAAGTACGACTATGTAAAGTCAACGTATCTCACAAAGCTTATTCAAAAATAGATGTTTACGTTCTTTAGTGAAGAAGCAAAAATTAAAGAAAAGGAAAAGAGATCCATCTTCAGGAGAGGAAGGCTCTGTTTCACCATCAAAAATAGAAAAGACAGATACCAAAAATTCCCAAGGTCAGTGCAGCTCTAATTAACATTTTTTTGTCCCTCAGTAAAATTTACTTATGGAGGGAGTATTTTTAAAATGCTCTGTGAATGGTCATACATGTTATATGCCACTTATTAACCAAGAGTGAGGTCATTACAGGGAAATCTCAGACCAAGGTGTTGATGTATAATCCATCAAGGCCGAGGTCTGAGATTTCCCTGTAATGACCAAATGGATGAGGTTAATAAGTTATTTATTATATGGCCTTTTTAGCGCTAAGTGAGAACACGGGAAGTAATTTTCAACATCTGCATGCAAGAGGTCATTTGTGGTCATGTTCCCTGAACTGAAACGAACCTGGCGATCCAATCAAAACCACAAGACAGTCTCTTTGACAATGAGTAATTTTGGACCTGAGCCTGTAATCAATTAAAAATAATAACTGGTCAGCAGATAACTTTAAAAAAAAGTCACCTCAAGGAGTTGTCAGTTGTGCATTGAACATAACATGAATGTGCTTTATCAAGTTAAACATGGACTGTCTATGCCTTGGACACCCACCAAGTAATGCCTGGTCATTACAAGAAAATATTGCCTGCTTTACAGCCAATCAGGGCCACACACTAGTATAGCTATATAATAAACCATTCTATTGCCCACTTGTTTTCTAATTTGTAGGTCAATTTCAAATTAGTCAGAACTCTAACTAACCTTTTCGTTTCAGTCGTAGCTTGAAGTTATAGGATCCTGTCCTTTCCTCCAAGTCTATATGTGAAAGTGTTAATTTTGAATCATCGTTGATTGTTTCTCAAATTTCTTTGTCTTCAAGTCCTAGGAAGCAAAGAAGATTGAGAATCAACCTAGCTTAAAAAAATTAACCTGACATTACATTTGACTTACAAAATCACTGGCCCCAGCTTAAACTTTGTATTTGAGTTAGGAATCCAAATGTACAAAATCAGTCCATAACCCACAATTAAGACCTCTAACTTGTTTTGAAGGAGGTATGTAAGACGGTACAGTGCACATGCTCAGGATGAACTTTAGTAATCTTGTGTTTTGTATTCCTGTTCCTTAGGTCGTCATTTTACTGTCAGTCTTGCTCTCCCTGGCTCCATCCTTGACAATGCACAATCTCCTGAACTAAGAACATACTTGGCTGGCCAGGTAGGAAAGGGATAGGGTAGGGGAAGTGAAGGACAACTTTGGGAAGTAAAGGCAGTAACCATCCCAAGGACTTGTTACATTTTTGAACCCCTAATAAAGCAATTTGTAAAGCACTTAAAAGTCCAACGGAAGCATTTGTATGAATGAAAAACCTTTAAGTGTTTCCTGGGGCTTGTTTCTTTAAAGGCATGGTGATTTTTCGATAACAAAGCCATATGATAATTTATCAAATTTAGTCAAGTCTTGAAAAAAAGAGCACTGTATTTGAGTGTCATTGTATTTAGCACGAAAGTGCCAATTCGTGACACTATCTTTACATCACCTGGAGACGGGACTGCCATTTGATGTGGTCATCCAAGCCACTAGAAGGTCAAGCCACTTGTACCTTCATTTCTCAGTTATTTTAGGACCCTGAGTAATGGTCTGGCCCCAGGACTCGAACCCACGACCTCCCGCTCTGCAGTCGAGCACTCTACCAACTGAGCTAATCCTGCTTTGGTAACTCTGATTTAGGGAAAATAACTCACACCTTTTTTTAAAGTTTGCTCAACCTTTGGAGAATGAATTTTGGTGTTTCTTCTATCATTCAAAGATCAGTGCTAAGTTATGTTCCTTAATAATTCAAAAACTTGTCATGATAAAACCTTGTTTACTTTACAGATTGCACGTGCTTTGGCAGTTTTTAGTATAGATGAAGTTGTCATCTTTGATGAGTCTGGAAAGACCCAGAGTAACTCTAATGGTGGTCTGAAGAGACACTCAGATCCTAATGTCTTGCTGGCAAGAATACTTCAATATCTGGAGTGTCCACAATATCTCAGAAAGAATTTTTTCCCAAAACATGCTGATCTTCAATATGCTGGTATGTAATCAGTGATTTGCATCTTGAAGAGAGTTTTTGCAAAAATGCTGCTTGGAACCACCAGTAAATGGCTGCCTTCCTAAACCTACTGAAATAAAGAATGTATGTGTTGCAGGTCAAATTTGATTTCTGGTTAATTTTGATTTAACCTAGGTTGATTCTCAATTTCCTTTGTTTCATAGCCCTAATTCATGAATAATTAGAATCAACCTGGGTTAAAAAAAATTTAAAAATTTACCATGATCTGACTAATCTTAGTAAGTGAATTAGTTCGACTTTGGAGCGACACTGGCACAACATCTGATTCAGACAGCACACCGTGTGTCAAGCCTAAGTTAAGTTCAACAAAAGTTCGCAGACTCTGTCGAACTTAATTAATGCTGTTCATCAGTTAGGTTTCTGCACATGAGTGGAGGGGCATGTGATCCGGGCCTTGGGTCATAATTCCTGATCCCAATCAACCCAAAGGAATGTATCCTTGCTTTTATTTTTTTCATTGAAATAATTAAGAAAGAACAAGCCACTTCACAAAGACTCGTCTTCCTTACAGTTCCTTCTAAACAGGTTTAGGGTCCAATACACCATAATAATAAGAAACTATAACATAATTTTTTGCCAGGTTTGTTAAATCCTTTAGACACTCCCCATCATATGAAAGTTGATGATGATGTTCCATACAGGGAAGGGGTGGTGCTGGACAGACCCGCTAAGTCAGGATGTGGTTCATTTGTAAACGTGGGTATGAGGAAGGAAGTTAGAATTGACAAGAGCATTAAACCAGGGGTTCGAGTCACTGTCAAGATGGGTGACACTTCAAATTCAGGTATCATCCAATAACAACTTAACATAATGATTTAAGCTATATTCCAGAGGGCACCAGTGTATGAACCATTGTTATTCAACTTCAAAAATTGATCTTAGAAATCAGCTTTGTTCATTGCAAACAGATCCAAGGATTGAATGCTAAGTTAGTTTATGCATTCCAGCATTTATAGACTTAATTCTGAAAGTCCATTTTAGATTAGTTTCTTGTAACAAAGGCTACGGCATTTATTTCTCCTCTTTTTGAAACACACTTCACAGAAAGAAAGCTTGGACTTGTAAGCACTGCAACTCAAGTTGCAATTCCTACAAGATTGTAGCTTAAAAGCTACAATCTTGGACAAAAAGGTCAAGAAAAATCCATGGACGTTTCCATGTCTAGTTTCAAGATAAAGCTCTTGAAAGCACTGGCTATTACAAATACTCCCCTCTTCCCCCCTTCAAAAAAAAAACACAGTACTGAAATCCTGTGGGATCATTTCTGACCTCGACCAACCAATGTTGACCAGGGTGGGGTGAGGGGAGGGCTCATAGTGGTACCAAATCCATGGGATAGGATTTCTGTGGGTAAGAAAGTGCAAAATTCTTAACATTTTTTGTCAAGGATTGTAGGGCCAACAATATCTCTGGAATTTTTTAAAAAAGCCTTTCAGGAACTGTAGGAACCCTTAGACATCATAATTTTTTTAAAATTATTTCTGTTTGATGTAACAGGGGCAAAATTCTACTGTGGAACAGTGGTGTCTCCTAATGCTCCAAGAACAGAACAGGGTTTATACTGGGGCTACAATGTCAGACTGGCTCCATCTTTTGGAGCAGTGTTTACACAGTGTCCATTTAAAGATGGCTACGATGTTACAATAGGAACCTCAGAAAGGGGTACCTCTGTGGATCAACTACAATTGACAGACTTCAGGTACAGTAGAAGACTTGAAACCTCTTAATTACTAATGGTAATAGGACTCAGTGACAAAATCGCGGGAGTCTGATTTGTTTAATCACGATTCATTATGATTACAGACCGAATTGGACAACACTAAGTTCTGTTACCAGTTAATCATAACTATGACATGACATTTAGGGCTTTTTTGAATAAAAAGACAAGAAGTTCTGAGAAGTTTTTTTGCTGGCAGTGAAAAAAAATGCGTGTATGTGATGGGGCGTACTGTCCAATTGCTCAAGCATGACACGTACTGTGCTATTACACTGTCCTATTAGTGCTGAAATCAGGACAGTTGATAGTCAATCAGAAATGAGAATTATTGTTATAGTTACGATTAACTTTATTACATACTTACTTCCCTGATTGATTGATTGATTCTTGATTAACATACAAAAACTTGATGTTTCTTGGATTTGATAACATGCCCAAAGATTATAGTAAGGATTATGGTGAGAACTCTATTAGCAAATTTACAAAAAGTCTTTGAAGCCATTCAATCAACTTGCATTTTGGAAATAAAGCATATGAGTGGCTTACAGTAACTAAACCCTTAATTTTGCACATTTTTTACTTGTTCACTTAATGGTTTTTATCCAGTATATTCTCTTTTATTTTGACTTTGGTTTAATTTATTGAGCGTTAGTGCATTGAATTTCCTAACAGAGGTAAGGTTAGGAATAGGGCTTTGACTGAATTTTCTTGACAATCACCCAGAGTTTGTCCCTGCTGTTCTTCCCTCATTTTCTTTGACTCTATGTAAGGCGGACACCCATTTATCAGAAGGAAGATGGACACCTAGGGTGTGTTCCTTTGGGATGATTGGGATCAGGATCAGTGATCCGAGATCACTCGGATCGTGGTAGATCAAATGAACCAATGAATCCATGTCCAGAGTGGATTTGTCGGTTCATTTGATCGACCATGGTCCGAGTGATCTCAGATCACTGATCCTGGTCCCGATCATCCCAAAGGAATGCACCCCTAGTTGTAGCATCAATAGTTCCCATCTTGGAGACAGTTAACTGTAACCAGCTTGTGACAAACTACAGACAAATGACCGTCAGCCAACGATACGTTCCCATGTGTAATTATGATAATATTTTGTTCTAATTGTCTAACTGAGGGAGCACATTCCTTATAAGCCTGGTGGCTTCTCTTGGGCTTCCTCGCCATGAGAGTTTAAGTAATTAGATTTTATTTGATTTGTACAAATTTTGGCAAACAAAACAATAAACAAATGATTGCAGCATTTTTTTTCGTATTTCTCTAGACGTTTACTGGTGGTATTTGGCGGTCTAAAAGGACTTGAAGCCAGCCTGGAATCTGATGAAAAACTAACAGAAAACGATCCATCACTTGTGTTTGATCATTACATAAACACGTGCCCCGGTCAAGGCAGTGGAACAATAAGGACTGAAGAAGCAATTCTTGTTACCATGTCTGCACTGAGACCGGTTATTACGAAAGCAACACGATGGAGATCTGGCATTTGATCTGATTTGCGATCAACTTGGAAAAGTTTGGATGTACGAGTGCCACTTTTTTTATTCGCGCCCCAGCTTTCGAGTCTCTAACGGTATCAGGTTGTTTCGCCCAAAAGTGGATTCGCCAAAGGGCGGTTCGCCCAGACTTGATTCGATTCGCCCGATGTGCGTCTTTCGCTCTTTTATGTCTGTTCTCATTCTCGTCCCCACGGCTTTTTCCTGAAAAAGTGGGAGTGGAAAATCCCTGGAAACGTTCACCTAGATGTAAAGTGTTTCATGTCATCGGGTGAATGATAGTTTAACTATGGGCGAATCGACCTAAGTCAGGGTAGAACGACCGCAATTCGAACAAACACCTAGTACGAGCCTTTGCCTTCTTTACTCTTCCTCCAGCTACGGTCGTTCACGCAAGTCATACAATCATGCATTTGAAACGGTCTTAATTGGACTGGCTTAACCTTAAACGGTTGGTTAGTAACCTTGGCATAAAATAGGCCTTTCGCAAAACGTGCTTGGAGTCATAACTTTTGGGCGTGGCCAAGAAGGTAGTAAACTCGTACAAAGGCTGTGACTCTGTATCGAATAAAGCCAGAGCTACGCCCGGAGTGGTCCCCTTTGGTGATTAAATTCTTCATTTCCTACTTGCATCACTATCCCTTTATATTCATGAGAACCCCAATCCTCTTTTAATCTCCACTGAGTTTTATTGTTAGATGCATCGCCCTCTAAAGACCGATTGAAATAAAAGTTGGTTTATAAAAGGTGTGTTTCTTTATTCGGTTTACGTGCAATTCTAACATGATATTTCTTCGCTTGACAATATCATGTATCTACAAAATGATAAGTAGCTGAGTCATTTTAAGAGGCGTTATCTTCATCTGTATCAAGGGTTTCATTTAGATACGGTGTACATTATTTTCAACTGAAGGACTGTTCATGTCCGCGTTGTAGATTGGCCCTGCCATCTTGAGCTAGTTAAACTGAGTTAAAAGGATATTGGCTAAGTAGTTATCAGTAGGTTAAAGGTTACTAAGGCTATTTTAAAAGCTTAAAAGCTTTTAAAACTAAAATGCTACCCTACTTGATTAACTCTCTACTCCGTTAGTATTCGACGTTAAGACTAAATTAACAAGGTCATTTTTCCCTATTAAAGACGCGGAAACAATATTTGTGCAAAATACTAATTGGCACCCATTATGCAGAAAACACACAATGCAGAGTGCCGCTATCACTGTTTTTTTTAAAAAGCCACCTTGAACATCCATATCTGTTGCTGACTGTTGTGCGAAAGGCTAGCCCTCAGCCCCAGATCAGCTAACACAGTTATTTCCGGCCGTATAAGTCCGTTGTAAAGAAAGATTAAAAAGTGTTTTTAAGTGAAATGAGAGATACACTACAGTAGACAACAGGCGTTGTTTGGGGCGCTGCGCCGCAAAACCTGCTTAAGCACCCCCTCCCCCCTTCCCCCCGCCTCCTCCGCCAAACCCCAACGAGGCCTCTTTTGCAGGCTATATATTTCCTAAGGGTAAGTACGCTTCGGTGACCATTAGATTGCTGTTCCTCCTAGTAATCCTCACTCGGCCTCCTCCCTTAAATCTAAAGGAACTAAAACCATTATGCAAATTATTCGTTTTACACAACGTAAGGAGATCTACAGTCTTTCAGCCGATGTGTATATCACTATAAGCGTGAGACAGAGGAAAATACCAAAATTTCAAACTGCTAAGGTAAAAATAAAAGGAGTATTGTGCGTCCCAAGGGGGTGCAAACGCAAGTTCGAGACCCTGAGTATTGGTCCCGCCCCGGCCATCGAGCCCGCGATGCCTATATAACATTGAAATGTATTTTTTTATACTATTATTATTATTATTATTATTATTATTATTATTATTATTATTATTAATAATATGTTGTCTGATGTTGTCAACCGACCATGACTGGAAGCAGTGCATGTGTTCACGAACGTTCGTAAATTGAAAAGACCGGGTATGTTTGGACTCCGTGTCAAACACACAGTTCGCTTTATTTCTTTTCTTTTCTTCTATTTCCTTTTTCCGTTTTGTTAAATGCTTTAAACCTTTCTTGACACGGAACAGAAAAAAACGAGTATGACATCATCCGTTGTTTTATCAGTGGGTTATTCTATTTTCGTGTAGGTTTAATTACCCGTACTTAAGATCTCAATTGATTACTAACATTCTTTGCTTAGGAAGCTCTTACAGAATATTTGCTGTTCTTTTAAACTTGAATAACACGCTTAATATCGAACTGCTCTTGCTGAAATTTTCATGGTAAGCAGTCATACATTAAGGGTATAAATTGCCGTCAACAGAGCTCCAAGTTTCAAAAGAGTTTTTTGGTCGGAGAGATAACAGTTATTGCCGTTGCTATTGAATTAAGCCATTCCTCATATTGGATGTAACGATGATGATTTTCTGCGTTTATATCAGTGACTCTGGGAGTGTGTCTTTTTTCCAATGTTGTTGGTAATGTATGATTTTTGCTCGAATTTCAGGTGTTATGCACGTGGTGTAAAAACGAATTCGCGAAAGCTTACTGTAATATCAGCAATGAACTGCACTTTGCAAAATATTAGTTTTAAACGGCTCCAGCTTACATTATCTTAGGAGAAATGAAGAAATATTTGTAAGTGGAATTAATAGTTCACATTTGGTAAAATTAAACTCAGTTTATTAATGTTTACACTGGATCAATTTAACAAGGGTGGGTCAAGGGCGTGTCTACTTGGCCTAAAGTCGTGAGTCTCTGTTCGATAGGGGTTGCATTTACAAAAAATCTGTAACATTTTATCCTGACTCACTTTGTTTCTCGCTTATTTCCATAATGGTTTTTTTAAAAATTGTGCGCCTCTTTTCATAGATACGCATGAAAAAAGCTGATATCGATACTTTACCATGAATCTTGTTGCTCGCGAAACCATTTTTAAGTAGTGAATATTTCATTGTTATATAAATAATCAGCCAAATTGTCATTTCTTAGGGCAAAAAACTTTACTAAATTAAAGAAAGCATTGATTCCTCTTTCTCTGGTGGGATTATAGGATGACCAATGTCCTGATCTTAGAAAATCACAATAAGATCAGATTCTATTTTCTTGTAAATAACAGAAGCCAATACTGGGGAATCATTGCAAATGAAGTTTTACAACCGCGATTTCCACGCCTCAGCGTCCAAGATACGGGGCATGTTAAAGAAGGCCAATCTTATGGGACATGGCTACCAGGTGGAAATAGAAATTAAGACAGAAAAGAAACCTGGCAAACCAGAATATGTAGAGGTATGTTAACTTGTTCTGTGAGCGTATTGATCTATCCTCGGCGACCAAGGTGTCCGGGGCTGATCAAGAAAATACAGCCGCAAGGAAGGGCATGGAGCACTGGCCAACTCAATCAGTGGCGGATCCAGGGAAGGGGCCCAGGGGGGCCGGCCCGCCTTATTTTTAGACCAAATCTAAAAAATGTTTTGGAGACCAGCCCCCCCCCCCCCCCCCCCCTTACCCCTTCTTTATTGATCTCTCCCCCCCCCCCCCATCTTCCTCTACCATTTTTTCACAAACTAATCCTTTTTTCTGGACATACACTTCTTACAGTCCTTCTCTCACACTTTTATTTTCAAAGACGAACACATAATATTTTATTTTCTTTTATTATAAAAAAAAGCGCGCAAAGAGGGGGAGGGGACGCGTGCCACCACATCCTGGTGGGGATGCGGGGGGGGGGCCCGGGGGGGGCGCCCCCCCTCATTTTTAACCCCACAAAAAAAAAAGTTTTGTGGCCCACCCCCCCCCCCCCCCCCCCACCTTATCTCAGCGTTTGGATGACCTGAACCCCTCCCCCTCCTCTTAGATACAGATCTATACAACTAATCATTTATTTATCAGTAAAGAACTCTGAGAGCATCTCTGTCCAAATATTTAAATTGAATGACGCTAGAAGTCAAAATTTTCTTACATTTTTTAAAAAAATGTTAAGCAGGAGCCCAACATGGGCTAGCTGATGATGTTCACACAATTTTAGGCAAAAGGGGCGGCCACGGCTCTCTCTTCTCAACCCCTTTCTAATCAACAAGACGGTAAATTCACCAGCAAGTGAGATCATTTCAAGATTCCATCAAAGTTTAGAAAAAGGACGTAAGAGTCCGGCTGTAAACTGTAAATATCACAGCCCTGTAGATGCCGCTGGCTATACAAGGGTGTGTGCGCTCTTGCTTTTCATTTCAGTAGCGTTCTCTTATCCGACGGACCCTGAGCGTAAAGTTAATTGAGTGTCTTAGGAGCCCGCCATAGTCCGGACCGAACAACTTCCATGACACAGCGTTTTCTCAGACAAGTTTATATTAAGATCGATTTCGGCGTGAATCTAGACCGTCACGTTTGTTCCAAAAATAAGCCAACAAAAGGCACAGACCGGAAAATATGAGTTTTGGGTTAAAATGACAATTTGTTTTTCGCAGTTTATCTTTCGGATGTGCCCACCGTATGGAGTGGAGGTCCATTTTCGGGGAAACAAGTTTTCAAAGTTGCACCTAAAAATAGACTGGTTGCTATCCGCTCCGGGTTTATGGCCTTGGCTCCTAGTCTCTGAAAGTAATTCACCTTGGCTTTTTCTCGTTTTTTTTTCCTGTATGGCTGATTAATGATGATTATGCGGCAGAGTCATGATCATATGCGATGAATATCGTTTTAGCCTCGGTGGGTTCGATAATGTCTTCCCGTCATTATGCTCGGCAAGTCAAATTAACTATAAATATTGTCTGTCTGTTTTCTCTTCCAGGAATCTCGCTACTACTACAAGATAGTGCCTTGCTCAAAGGTTCCTGAGATTGAGGAAGAACTGAACAAGTTGTTGTCTGGTAAATTGGAAAACTGCCTTCTACTGTAGGGCTCGTTTATCACTTTTCTCACTGTACAATCAAACCCCGCTTTAAACGGACACTCTCTTAATAAGGACACCTCATTATTATTATCATTATTAAACACAGTTGGGAGTCAGTTAACGGGGTGTCCGTAATTACCTTATTATAGGAAATTATCGCTCCATGAAATTAACGCGAATCGTTAAAATTCGCGTTAATTTTGTTGAGCGTTAATTTCCGCGACGTTAGTTAAGTGCAGCGTTAATTTCCGCGCTCTTAATTTCCAGTATTATAACCCCAGTTTTGGAACCTGTCCAGACATTCTTGACACCTAGCTAAAAAAAATTGAGTACAAGCTTTCTTTCTTTTCATTTACCCTTTATTTTTCATCTTTCACAAAAGCTAAGGCGAAGGTTTACAATATTTCGAGTTCATCTTCATCGTTGTCACTGTCAGAAGTGATGTCAATATCTTCTCCTTTGAGTTCGGCCATAGTTAGTTTGCTTAGAGCCACCGCCACCCCCTCCCCTCCTCAACCCTGGGTGTAGAGGGCGGCTAATGATTCGCCCCTTGCAAGGGAATCCGGATTCCGGAATCAGGGAAATTTTTGCTATTGGAAGTGGAGGAATCCTGGAATACAGCCCAAGGATTCCGGATCCCACTAAAGATTGGAATCTGGAATCCAAGTTCCACTGACCAACGGAATCTAGTACCTGGAATCCGGAATCCGCGGCGTGGAGTCCAGAATCCACGACGATAAAAAATTGCTTTCTATTATTTTCCACTGACTATTGTTTTCTCCTGTAGAGCTATTGATATCTGAATATAGCCTCAAGTAATCATTCTGAAAAATTAATCCTTTTCATTTCTGTTCAAGGTGCTTTTGGATCTGAGCTGGCCAGCGAGTTAGGAAAAGAAATTCAAGTCATGCGCTTAGGGGAGTCGGGAAAGTGCAAAACAGGAGTGGAGATTGTTTACAACTATGGCAGTAACCAGGTCGACAGCAGTCTGCAACGCAAAAAACGCGGCTGGAGAATAAGAATCCGCATTAGGATCAGAATCCGAATAAAAATATCCATACGTAGGAGGTGAAATCGACCAAGAGGCGGCGTATAAGCTGCGGAAAAACAGGCAAGAAAAACGTGCAACTTGTTTTGCAACATTGCTGAAAAACGAGTTGAATAGCGATGTTGCACGTTTTACCACCCATGTTCAAACCCGTCTTGCAAAAAAATAAAACTTGCTGCAAGTCGAGTGTTTATACTGACTTCTGATTGGATAAAATTACGCAGCAATTACGCCATACACGGAAGTTACGTCACTTGTTTCAAAACAAGTTTGCCTTGGGCCGGTAAAACGCGCAAATGTACAGTTTTACTGCAAAAAGTAGAACTACCCTCTACTTTTTGTTACAACTTTTCGCAACCTGCAACAACCTGATTTATTTTGTTGTAAGACAGGTTTAAACGTGGGTGGTAAAACGTGCAACGTCGTATATCTCAACTCCTTTTGTAGCAATGTTGCAAAGCAAGTTCAAGTGCACGTTTTTGTTGCCCGTTTTGTCGTACCTTTAGCTAGCCCGCGAGCAAGCTTTCCTTTTAAAAATCGCGAGAGTCGTAGGTCGAACGGTGGTGAGCCGCAAAAGACTAATGTTTCTCTTTTTCCAAGTTCCAAAATCTCTCACTTTCAAAATGAGACTAAGTGCAAAACCTTTCTTGTGAAAATGAGTTTTATGTGCAGGAGAATAAAACGCATTGTTCATATCAATAATTTCGCACCTAGCCTCGCTTTGAAACAGAGGCTTGGATCAAATCGGGAATAGCCTATTAGGTCGCGTTTCGCGATTTTCAGACGGAAAACTTGCTTGAAGGACATGGCTAAGCTGAGGAGATGTGATGTTAGGTGGTAAGGCCTTATAATATTCGCCATGTACTAAATACGACCTTTAAATATCCTTTATAACATTTTAGCAGTCACTATTACAGACTGCAAAACAGGTGTTTTTTTCCTTTATACATTTCTTTTTGAAAAAAAAGGGGGCTAGTTTACACTCGATTCGTCTTGCAACTCGGAACGAGTGAAACTTCTTGTAACGAATATAGAGGCTGCAATAAATCAATATTTTGGTAGGTTGCTTGTCTTTTTATTACGGTGCATTTTCATGATTTTTCTCTGGTAGAAAAACACGGGAGAGGCAGATGGAGGGGAAAACGCAAAGATGGGGGAGGGGTTGGGGACGGTTTCCTAGTCTCCCTTCTTGGTTAATGCGTTTCGATGACTCGCTCGGACCGTGAAAAAATGAGGCCTAGCGAATAGGCAAGCGAGGCGGGACAAATAGCCCACGTTCAATATCTTAAAATTCTAGCATGAATGTTAGTTATGCCAAATGGAAAAACAAGATGAAAAAACAACAACAACAGCAACAACAAGATCTTGCTATGTTTACGTTTACGTTTATTCAAATAATCCGTAAAATGCTATGTTTAAATACTGCTCAATATGTGTTTCCCATTTATGTTATAAATAAACACTCAAATATACCCAGAAAGTACCAATTCCTACATCGTAGTAAATAAAACTCACATCTTCTTATCTTTTGCTGGTTCCCTCGCTCGTTTACAATATTTTTCCTTTGAAGAGAAAATGAACTTTAAATATTTATCTTTTCAAAATGCTCTACAATACACCTTCAATAACTGATAGGTTTAGTGGATAACTAAAGTGTCTTTCATGAAAAATCAGTACCCTGGAGAGAATATAACAGTTGATCAACATTACACACATAATGAAAAATTAAGATGTTTTATACAAACACGTTTTTTACCTACCTCTTCTTAAATAAACCTTTTTATTAACCACACATCAATATTATTTTTGTTTTTAGTTAACCATTTAAGTCCCAATATCCATGTCCAAATTCTCCAACCTGATCTCAATACATTTCCTTAAAGAGTATTGACAAAATTTGATTTGGTTAAATGTAATTTGACAAAGTTAACCACCACAAGCTTAGCGGTCAAGTGGTCCACGAGCTTATTGGTCAAGCGGTCCACGAGCTTAGAGGTCAAGCGACCCACAAGCTTAGTGGTCAAGCCAACCATGAGCTTAGTGGGCATCCAGCAGTCAATCCCATAAGTGCAGGCTCACATTGTATGTAATAGCTTTGTGTACTGCTAGGATCTGTAAGTTCTTTGTTGAGTGTTTAGGGGCTGGCTGGCCATAGTGGAAGCCCCTGGGTGTCCCAGGCATCCAGCTTCCACTTAAGCGAGGCAGTTGGTTAAACAATAGATCTAAGCAACTTCCCTTTGGTGATCATTTGAATAATTCTCATAACTTTTTCTCTTGATTGTGCATTGATGTTGTTGGGAGAAATTTGATTTTGGTCAATCTTGGGACTTAAAGGGTAAAAGTTATGTTCCTTTTGCTTTATTTGATGCTAACATACAGTTGCAGAATACCTGCAACTAACGATTTAAATACATCTATTGCTCTGTCTTCAGAGCTATTTGTTTTTGGTTATACAATCTATCCCAACCACCACAAAACCTCTCAATTTCCATGGCAACAGCGATGCTCAAGTGATCCTTGTTGTTTCTCGCAACCACTTGGATACCAAGTGGCAATCCAGACTTACTTAAACCAACAGGACATTGGGTAACCGGCATGTAAAGAACATTGAAAATGGCAGTGTAAGAGAAATTAAAGGGGAACAACAGAGGCAAATTATGGTTCAAGGCCACTGAGGGATGTGACGGATACAGAAGCACTCCATCTTCCCCCAAAATAGATTCGAGCTCCTCTCGCAATTCCTCTCCCATTTGAATGAATGACTCTGACACTCTCTTTGGGGTCAATGCCTCAAATTTTTCAAGCATACCCAGACCAATAGCAGGAATTGTATGATTGGAGAGTCGTGCGCATGATTTTAAGAGCTCCCAGAATGGATTAATCTCAGCTTCTTGGTTACCCATGTAGAAACAGAATGACTTTTGTGCAGCAGATGACATCATAGAGGTCCAGATTTCAAGAGAAGAGGCAAGCTTCTCAATTTTAATGGCTTCCACCCTGACTCCAAGTTTCTCTTCAAGTTGCTGACAGACGTGTTGCTGAGCTTGTTTGAGTTCAGGGTCGACATTTGACACCAGGAAGTGTCCTCCACAATCCTCCATGGTGTAAAACCTTAGCTTAGTAACATCAACAGGAATGTCAAGGCTCAGTGAACTTGCATTCTCTCCTGCCATAACCTAAATGAAGAGGTGACACACAGCATAATTTACTGGAACTAACATCATCACCATCATTATCATAATCATCATCATATCAAACATTTATTTGAGCACAACAACATTTTTAAAAGCAGCATGCTTGTGAGTTCATTTGGAGTCTAGCAACTTAAAAATGGTGGTGGAAGCAACTTAGAAGGAGAGAAAAAACAAGAACGAAACAAGGCCAATTAACTTGGACAAAGACTCCTGGGACTGTCACTGGAAACAGGGAAAAAAATTGGCTAATAACAGACCAAAGTCCTCAGTAACAATCCCAGAAGTCCTTGCATAAGCTAACTCGTCCAAGGTACCTTCTCATTTCTAAGTGGCAATTGGTCACAGGGATTTAAGGGAGCTACACCCCCAAACACTTTACCATGCAGTACATCCATTGAAAGAGTACATACCCTAAGCAGAGGTTTCAGGTCTTGTGCGTAGCGGCACATTGGTCCAGTGCATAGGAATTGTTGTCTGTTACCAGTGGCATCAGGAAACTGGCCAGAATTGGGCACAATTTCTGGGCTTGGTTTGTGTCCAAATATGCCATTGAAGAAAGATGGCATTCGTATGCTCCCACCAATGTCTAAAAGAGAGGTTTAGATGTTTTTAAGATTACTATTTCATACCTACAGGTAGGAAGCCTAGGAAATTGCCATTAAATTCCTCATAGACATAATCCTTTAGTTATAAGAACAGCTTTATTCTACAGTGTCTCTGTCCATTCGGGGTGCAATAGACCCACTTTACCACTAGGAATAAAATGATTGTAGTACTCCTGGTACCAGCCACCTTAAGATATCCATTATAATTAGCTGTAATATTCAATCCAGGGCAACTTGACTCCCAAACAATTGATCCCTTTATCAGGAAGTGGATGGGGTCAACAGAGCGAATATGATCCTGATCAACCTGTGCTGTGCACAACTTACCTGATCCTACTCCAATTACTGATCCAGCAGCACCAATTATAGCACCTTCTCCACCAGAGCTTCCACCCACTATCTTGGTGATGTCAAACGGGTTACATGTCCTGCCATAGACCCTGTTAGCCGACTCCCACCACATGCACAACTCACTACAGTTGGTCAAAGCCAGCGGTATGGCTCCAGCTTGGCGTAATCGGTGAACCACAACAGCATCTCCCTGGGCGATATAATCTTTACGAGCCACAAGACCACCACTATTGGGTAGCCCAGTCACTGCAAAAGCTTCTTTGGCCGTGAATGGTATGCCCAGAAAGGGCTTGGACCCCTCTAATTCATTCCTCTCTTCTTCACTCATTTCAAGAAGCATTTCATCTATTTCCTTGGCTTCTTGTAAGGCTTCAGAGAAGCGGTCGACTACTACGGCATTGATACGAGCATTAACAACATTTATTCTGTCAATAAACACTTGCATCAGTTCTTCAACGCCGACTTCTAACCGGCGAATCTTTAAAGCAAGCGTTGTAGCCGAAAGTCTCAGGTAGCCATGAATTGGCTCCTGGAAAACGTCGTTGGTAGACATCTCTTGAAGACAACCTTCCTCTGTAGTCCATATACTCTTCCTACGATCTACTAGATGAGCAACCTACCAGATCATCTCAGATTGATCACAACGCCGAACGTAATCTGTGTGACAAAAACAAAATATTTTACACGACCGCAATAAAAAATTACCCATAATCCTATGGAACAGGAAGTTTCCCATCAACGCGCGCGGGACGAACATCAATGGCGGGTGCCGGCGTGGAAACAAGTCCATGAAATTTTCTGGGTTGATTTCATCAACTTCTAGAATTTGGGCCCAAAATAGCACGCGACCTGTAATAAGAAGTTTCCCAGTGCGAGTTTTAAACAGACTGGTTTGTAGTACCATGGATCCCGGCAATTCAACAGAAAGCGGCGAGATCGTGGAGAAGACAGCCAGTCAGCTCAAAAAGGAAGCCCAGAGACTGGCAAAATTAGAAAAATTTAATAAAAAGAAAGAGAAAGAAGCCGCTCTTGCTGAACACCAGAATCAAGTAAGTGGTTAAATTGATTTTTGGATGATATTCTTGCAGGTGAAACTCTCGGATCACGGAACGTTTTTCGTGACTTTAATTCATACTTTTAGTATGATCAGGGGAACATAACTCACGTGTTTGTATTCGAAAATCGTAACGAGCTGCTTTGACAGCTATATAGTTGTAAATTACGCGGGGTTTACAGAATAAGTCCAATTAAGAACAGGACATCGACAAACTTTAAATGTATTTTCTTGTAAACAGCTTCCACTTTGCTTTCACAACATTGCATCACCTCCTACTATTTCCTGGAGGGTGGGGTGGGGCGAGAGGATTTTTGTAATATTATCTGTTATAGAAACAAACAGTGTTGTTAAAATATAATAATAATAGTGATAATGAGTTTGGTAAACAACATAGTTTTTTTCTCTGATTATCCTTTTTCCTCAAATTAATATAGAAAAAGAACAATAAAAAGAAGAAAGAAACAACAAAGAAGGTTTTTGTCTATGACAAACCAACAGCACCAGGAGAAAAGAAAGGTAACTGTACTCTAACTCAATTATAGGGGCAGTGCAAGCAAGATTAAATACCGTAAATGATCTAATACAATGCCCTCTGTCTCAGATTAACTCTTTTGCTATTCCAGATGTACTTCCTCCTTATTTCAATATGAATATGTTCTCTAATTGACAGGAAAATTCTCAAAACCTTTAGTTTACCATAACAAAAACCCTAATAAAAATGGTTTTGGTAGTGCTTAATGGACTGTGTGGTAAAGAAAAACATAGGAATTATGGCTTACATCTGTGATCTTGTGACTTTGCTGTCGTTCAATTTTATTGTTAGTTTGAAATTAATGTTACTTTTTTTTTGTTCCAAACCCAGTATCATACATTCCCATACCCCAAAACAAGGCAAAGTAAAATTTAAACCAAGCATAAAATTGAACCACAACATCTATGCTCTGTGGAGAGATGCTTCGCTTTAACAGGCACTACATAATACAGTAATACAGTCAGCTTCCTTTATAGAGGACACTGCAGGGACCTTGAGTTAGTGTCCTCATTAGAGAGTCCATAATAGCAGAAGCTTATTTCAGTCAAAGATCTGTAATTTATTTTTACCAAAGATTTAGCTGCTGTCCATATTATGGCGTGTCCATCTTAGCAGGGTATCTACAAGACAAGTGTTGACTGTATAGGACAAACAGTATCTCAGGGGGAGGTGCTGAGGTATAATGATCGACAGGGAAGGTGAAGATAGGGCCATATTTTTCTCATGTTATAGACTTAAAATAGATCACCAAAAAACTGTCTAATACCTGTAACCCACAAATGTTGTCATTTTTCTCTGCATAAAAATCAACTTCTTCAAAAAATTAGCCGAGCAGTTTTTTTACCTGGAAAAGTCCTCAACTCCAATCTTTGAAACCTCCAAAGGGACTTTGCACCTCTCTGTCACAATTCCCCCTGTTAATTTCTTTCACCAGAATACCTGCCCTCCCACCCCCTCACCCTTAAGAGACATTGCATGATA